AGCGTGTGAGGGGAAAAGGGGAAAGAGTGAGAAGAAAAAGCAGAGAAAGCAAGACCCTTACCCTTCACCATCTGTCGAGCTTGTTGCACGATGCTTTCATCCAGCATAGGGAAACATCGATGCTCAGAACGGAGTCAGATGGGCGCCTTTTCGCGAAGGGAGAGCGTGTGGAAGTGGGTGGTGGTTTTGGGATGAATTTGAAAAGGGAATTCGAGTATTTATACAAAAGACAGACCTCTCTTCACAGTTTTCAGAATTCAGATGATTTTTCCTAGACTGTTAAGTATGTCAAAATCGAATCTGACAGACCGGTTAACTTACCATAATCCACATGCATGTTACATGAACAAAAAGACCATCCAATTGCTAGCATGATTCACAATTCTAGGCTTTCGTTGGACCATCCGATGGAATTAAGATATCCCGTTCTTTCGGCTTCCCGGCAATTGATGCTTGGCAGTCCTAATATGTTTGATATGTTGCATCGCTGCTGCTTTATGTTTGACCATTTTGAATTCTTATCAACCATCAGATGGATCTGAGATATCACGCTTCTTTGACGTTTGCACAACGGCTTTCTTGATAGCTTGGATTTATCTGCACAATCTGCTGCCGTAATCCTCAGTTCTTTCTGCTAACCATCCGATGGTTTTGAGATATCCCGCTTTGCTGGCTTTCAAACGAATACTTTTTGACCAATCATCTGCAGCTACTATTTATGACTTTTACTAACCATCCGATAGATCTGACATATCCCGCTTTTCCGGCTTCTCGGTAAGTTCTTTCTTTACAGCTTTGATAAGTTTGCTACACTCTGCTCTCTTGTCCGTGCGTTAAGACCTCTGCTGCACCATTCTGCTCTGCAGGTATGAGTGAAAGAGTTAAACCTTTGGATGGTGAAAGTTTTGTGTATGCATCTATCGTTATTGTCATGGCCAGCTAAATGACCTATCGATATATTTATAACGGGAGCAGCAGGTATGATATGACATGCTTTTTTTAAATGGGCTATTCAAATTCAAGTCTTTTCTCATCATGGTCATCCAAAGGGATAAGTAATCAAGTTGGCTGACAATGGATGTATGCTACCCTACGCACGCACGCACGCCTACGTATACTCCATATTAGCGTGACTTTATGCAAGAAGAAAGTCACTAAAATGACTGAGTTTCATACACCGACTGAGAATATCACAACCCATGATTTCATGAAGGTCATGCGATAACGCCTTGATCAGAGTGAGATGTCTCGGAATAACATGGAATGCCGAATGCAGCCGCAACCTATGGGCCATCTGCTCGTTGTCGATCCACAGGGATATGTCCATCTCTGCATCACGAACTTCCGTGTAAGAGCATAGACCCAAATGGATTGATCACAATGGCTTGTGTTTAGTTGACCAGATCCACACATGAATAAGAACCGATTGAGGCTGCGTTGTTCATTCTTCTCACCCAGCAAGAATGATTTTCCAAGACTTCAGGAGTTCCCTACTACCACTCACCATAGAACATGTTTAAGAAAAGCAAAGTCGACGTCGAGTGAGATTCTGATGTCGCTGTCGTGGATTCCGATGAGGATGTTCACCTAAAGTATTAGATAATCGTACATTCATTCATTCATCATTCGAATACATATTACCACGACGATTTGCGCACTCCGACCAATTATCCTGCTCTGGCTTTTAGTCTGAATTGATACTGAAGAAAGAGATGAGTCAGATTAGAGAACTCTCACTGGATAACTAGAGATCCTGCAAAGACGTATGTTCCGCAACAAGTTCGATCAGATAAAAAAGTCACGAAAAGAGACCAAAAGAAGGAAAAGAACTATCATTCAGAAGCATCAAGGAGGGAGAGAAGGATTAAAAAGTCAATGCAAGAAGGTGTGACAAGAGAAGCAGCAGAACAAGAGGCTATTCAGCATCGGAAAACCCTTAGGGATAGACAAAGAGGCCGAATTCCGTAGCGCAAGCTGTCAAACGAATTGTGTATATAGAACTGTATCGGGGCTTAACAGTGTGAAGAAAGAATTGCGTAATGCACATGTCATGATCCAACGTTGAGAACAAGTAGCCTCATTGCCACCTCAACTGAAGCATGAAGCACGGTATAGTTCTGATTCTCTTAGGAGTTCTCCTTCCTGCTCTGATGAGTTTGGCTGCTTTTCCCGATATCGTCCCGTTGGTAAAACGGATGGAAGGCCCCTCGGGAAGTTGGTCTCCGAGTAGTGCATCAAAATTTCTCTTAGATGATACAGACCATTCGAAAGATCACCCAGAAAGTAAGAAAGAAGAAGCATATCATCGTTGGGAAGACTTAATAGACGTCAAGCCCGAAAAGAAAGCTGCAGCGGGAAGCTCAAAAACAGAGCATCAGCATCTTAGCGAGCCGAGCGAACCTAAGCCCGCCGCCGAGCAGTCTGAACGAAAGCCAAGAAGAACGTTCCGACTAACAGCACGACAGCAGTTGTTCAACAAATACGTCAAAGAAGGACTTAGCAATACGGAAGCATTGGAAAAAGCGGGTGATGTTCTAACTCAGAGACAACGGGAATCATACAGCAAGAATCCGGTAGTACAAGAGAAAAGACGACTAAGAGAAATCAAACAGCGAGAAAAGAAAGACGCACGTAACGAACGAAGACGTGAAGAGTACGCAATACGAACGGCAGCCAAACGAGCAGCAGGCGGTCTGTCACGTAAGAGAAAAGCACCTGGTGAGAGAACGTATGACAAGATGTATAATACACAAGTAGAGAACCATTTCAGACAAGGTGCATCAAAAGAAGAAGCTGAGAAAGCAGCTCGAGAGTATACAGAAGAGAAACGTGCAAAAAATCTTGAATATTCCCGCAAATATAACGCGAAAAGGAGGAAGATCAAAGAAGAAAGCAAGATGTTGAAAAAAGGTTAATAAACTGTACTTCTGCGACAAGCAGCATTCACGGGGCTACACAGCTTCGTCTCTGTCTATAGCTTTCAAAACTCCTCCGATTCTGATTTTCACATTTGTATACTTTGTTCATCTTCCATCATTGTGCTTTTCTATACATACCACCGCCTTACGAGATGGTGACATTAATGTTGTCGATTACTATATTTCTGAATCTATACTCTGTACATTCAAGCCCTACCAATCTTCCCCAATCGAGCTCTTCACCTTTGCATATCAACACAGCGGCAGGAAACCAAGCTGCTCAAATCCTGTTAGAGGGAGAAGATTATCAATACAAAGGACATCATGACCATTCAGCTCGACAACATGACCATTCAGGTCAAAAAGCGATTTCATCAACGTCAAATCCGGCTTTAGCCGAACATTCGTCGACCCAAAAGCCTGTTGCAGATCAACGCAGGGTTGGTAGACCTAAATCGAATCCGAACAGCAGCTATCAGAAACGTAAGGCTAAAGAAATTCGGTATGTGATGGAAAGCGGAGGCCATGATGAAAAGACTGCAGAGAAGATCGTTTTGGCTAAATGGGTAAATGAACGTAATTTAGCCTATACTTTAAAGCCGAGACCAAGTATTCAAACGGGTCCAGATATTCCAGAGAAAGCTAAAGCTAAAATTTCAGCGAGAACCAAGACGGATATTTTCGTTTTTCGTAATCGTTATGGTCGAAATATCAAGCTTGGACTTAATGAAGAACAAGCTATAGAAGGAGCCAGACAGTACATGGCTGATCGCCACCAAAGCGTTAGAACTGCACAAAAGAAATATAGGGAAAAAAAGCGATTAGAAGTGCAAAAGAGGAAGGATAAAAAACCAGCGGAATGAAGAATCGTGAGCGGAATTGCTTGATGCTCTTTCTATTGTCCTGCTATCATGGCGCTCATCATTATCAAGCATTAAAAAACGATGTCGAAGAAGCAGCTCGTGCATATACAAAAGAAGAAACATGCAAAGAATCCTCAGCACTCTCGCAAATCTAGCCCTAAAAAGATGAAGCTCAAAAGGAAAGCAATATGCATTAACTTGCACTTCTGCAACAAGCAGCAATCACGGGGCTACACAGCTTCCGCCGTCTTTTATTGTAGCTTTCAAATTACTCAGATTCACTTTTGCATACTTTCCATTCATCTTTCATCATTATTGTTCTCTGTACATACCGCCGCCTTGCAAAATGGTGAAATTAGCATTGTCGATTACGATATTCGTAAATCTGTACTTTGCATATTCGAGCCCTACCAATTCTACTCAATCAAGCTCCTCCTTACCATTGCACATCGAAACGGCTGCGGGAAACCAAGCCGCTCAGATGTTACTCGAAGGAGAAGATTATCAATTCAAAGGACGTCATGATCCTTCAGCTCAACGTGCAAGCACGACCTTAGCGAAACATAGAACGACTCATACACCTGAACCGAATAAAAGAAAGTGGGGAAGACAAATCTCAAATCCTGACAGTAGCTACCAGAAACGCAAAGCTAAAGCTATTCAAGCAACGATGAAAGAGGGAGGTCATGATGAAAAAACCGCCGAAAAGATCGTCTTGGCTAAATGGTCAAAAGAACGAAGTCTTGCCTATATTTTAAAGCCTAACACAGGAAACAAGAAAGATGCAAGCATACCGCTGAATGCTGAACCTAAAGTCTTTGCGAAAAATAAAGCAGATGTCTCTATTTATCAAAAACGACTCGGTAGAAATATAAGGTATGGACTGAACAAAGAACATGCAATTCAAGATGCGACTTACTACATGATTGACCGTCATCAACGAGCTCGTATAGCACAAAAGAAGTATAGAGATAAGAAGCGTTTGGAAGAGGAACGGCAAAAGGACGATAAATCAGCTCAATGATAATAGTTGACAGGGCGGATCGATGCTCCATCTATCGTAGTGCAGCTGCGGCGAACGTCGTTAGTGCGTTACGTTGACATAGATTGTGTTTTTACCTTTGCCATCGATTTTGCTGCTCTGATTAATGAATTCTTCTTTGCTCTTAAACGATTTTTCATCTTGACATTTTCAATATACGTGTCTGCCGCCTCTTTTGCATCTGCTTGAGACATACCTTTGTTCATGTTAACCTTGATACGATTTTCATGTTGATGCTCATACGTTTGTACACGTGGCTTTTGTGCTTTCTTCACTTGTCCGTCAAAGAAGGCCTCATCGACGGCTTTTCTAACATGATATAATTTTCTTTTGTAGTCTCTACGTTTCTCCTTTTGTTCTGGAGTAGATTTACTCCAGGATTTCCGATTATAGCTTCTCGATTTTTCAATATTTTTTCCTGTCCAATGTCTCTGATAACTAGACTGTTTATCTAAAAATCTTCTTTCTGCTTCTTCAGGATGAACACCTTCTTTGACGAGTTCAGCAATCTTATTGCGCTTCTTTTGCGCATATTTGGTTGTCTTTGGTTCAACGTGCGGGATGATAGTATGCTTTGCCACACTGAACGGAGCTGTATACTGATGATTCGGCGATGATGTACTTAAAAGATGATTTGGTGTAAGTTTGTGTTGGCTTAATCTGTCATCTTTTTTATACTCACTGAACTTCATATTCGCTTGCATGGAGCATTTTCTTCGCTGCTATTTGACCGGCGGATGTGCTTACTCGTATTGGTGATGGCGGCGGAGAGTTATTTTGCACTGGACTTCCTCTTATACTACCGGAGTAGCCAATTGTCTGTAAGCATACAACGAGTAATAGATGAACGAGTATTAGACTGGAGCCGATCATTTTCCGTTGGGATGAAGACTGGGCCGGGTTAAGGTGAAGATTTCAACCTGCTGAGATATGTACAATTCTTTGAATTTGAAAGATTTATAGGGCTTCGCCCCGTTCATGTCATGTGTTTATACAGATCAGTATACAATAAACATACTCGGTCCATCTCGGTTCATAGCCTCTTCTACGGCTTCTTATGAATAAAGTAGCACAATTTACCGTTTCCGATATTAGCAGATCTTGAAAATATGTATAAGTCTATAATAAACAAACTCTACCGTTAAAAGAACAAAAGTGAGATGCTCGAAATGCTCGTAAAATGAATTTGCCAAGCAGATAGACTGACACAAGAGGGGGAAGCCACATAGATATGGCGAACATTATTTGTTGTTACTCTAGCACATATTGTGCGTTGCTCTTTTCCAATGCTTTTGCAGCTGCCTTGATTAAGTGATTTTTCTTTCTTCTAGAACGGCTTTTCATCCTGACGTCTTCAATATACTTATCTGCCGCTTCTTTCGCATCAGAAGGCGACATACCTTTCTCTAAATTTACCCGATAACGATCTTCATGCTGGACCAAGTATGTTTGGGGATCTGAACCTTTCTTTTTATCTTTGTCATCGAGCAAAGCTTCAATAATACTCTTTTTGACTTGATAAGATTTTCGTCTGTACTCTTTCCGTCTTGTCCTTACTTCAACAGACGTTTTCTTCCATGATTTATTGTTGTATACACTCGTCCTCTGGCGATTTTTTGATGCCCAATTTTTCTGTAAAGTAGACATTTCCTTCAAAAATTTTTGTTCAGCTTCTTTAGGATGTAGACCTTCTTGGATAAATTTGGCAATCTTGTTGCGCTTTTTTTGCTGATACCTGTTTTCCGACTTTGGCATAATGTGGGAAGGTTCGCTTTCTGTGACGCTGAGATGAGTTATACTTTGATGTCTTGGCGAAGATGCACTTTGATGTTTCGGCGAAGATGCACTTGAACAAGATCTTATGATGTAAGTTTATGATGTCATATCTTACCTGTCTTTTTTTACTCACTGGACTTCATATTCACCTTCATGAAGCATAAGTTTTGCAGCAATTTGTCCGGCGGAAGTGCTTACTCGTATTGGTGATGGCGGCGGTGAATTATTTTGCACTGGACTTCCACTTATACTACCAGAATAGCCAATTATCTCTAAGCATAGAATGAGTAATATACTGGAGCCAATCATTTTCTGTTGTGATGAAGACTGGGCCAGATTAAGGTGAAAATCCCAACCTGCTGAGATATGTATAATTCTTTGTAATTGAAAGATTCATAAAGCTTCGCCCCGTTCATGTCATGTGTTTATACAGATCAGAACGCAATAAACATGTTCGGTGCTCCTCGGTTCATAGCCTCTTCTGCGCCTTCTCTTGAATCAACTGACACAACTTGTGATTTCTGGTATCAGCAGATCCTAAAAGTGCGGATAAGTCCATAATAAACAGACTCTACCGTTTAGGGGCCCACAAAAGGAAGATGCCACGAAATGCTCGTAAATATGAAAAGCAGATGGTGTGACACGAAACGGGGAAGCCATATGGATAAAGCGAATTTTGTTTAGTGTTACTCTAGCACAGATTGTGCGTTACTCTTTTCCAATGCTTTTGCAGCTGCCTTAATTAAGGGATTTTTCTTTCTTCTAGAACGATTTTTAATCTTGACGTCTTCAATATGCTTATCTGCCGCTTCTTTTGCATTAAAAGGAGACATACCTTTTTCCAAATTTATCCTATAACGATTTTCATGCATCATCAAGTATGTTTGAAGACCCGAACTACCTTTATTTTTATCTTTGTCATCGAGTAAAGCTTCCATGATACTCTTTTTTACTTGATAAGATTTTCGTTTATACTCTTTTCGTTTTTCCCTTTGTTCAGTAGTCGTTTTACTCCATGACATATTGTTATATATCTTTGTCCTCTGACGATTTTTTGATGCCCAATTTCTCTGTGAAGTAGACATTTCCTTCAAAAATTTTTGTTCGGCTTCTTTAGGATGTAAACCTTCTTGAATAAATTTGGCAACCTTGTTGCGCTTTTTTTGCTGATACTTGGTTTCCGACTTTGGCATAATGTGGGGAGGTGTGCTTTCTGCTACGCTGAGAGGAGTTGTATTTTGATGTTTTGGCGAAGATGCACTTAGAGAGATCTTATGATGTAAGTTTAAGATGTCATACTTTGTCCGTCACTTTATTACTCACTGGACTTCATATTCACCCTCATGAAGCATAAGTCTCGCAGCAAGTTGTCCGGCAGAAGTGCTGACTCGAATTGGTGATGCCGATGGTCCATGTTGCACTGGACTTTGATTTATACCGCAAAATGAACTATTTACCAGTGAAGAAACAATGAACAATAGACTAAGGCCAATCATTCTTTGTTGAAATCAAGACTGTAAAGAGGAAAAAAAGTTGCCGATCCTACGCATTCGAGTTATGTGTCATATTTTTAGACTTGAGTATCCGTGAAGATTTGCCCCGTTAGAAGTCAAAAGTTTATTGAATGTTTACGCATTACCGGGGCAAAAGTTCATTGATGTTTACGCATTGTGCGCACTCCTTACCTCTTTGCTTTCTGACCTTCTTAAATTGACTCAACTGGAACCTTTACGACATCGGCGTATGCTCGATTTGCGTACTTCACCGCAATAACCAAACCCTACAACACAATCATAAAAATCTTAAAATCACAACATTTCTCAAAAAAGAATGAACATTTCGATTAGAACAGAGCATTCAAGTTTGGTCACTTAAACGAGACAGTTTCACTTGATATGAATGACTCAAGCAGTAGCTTGTCCCTCAGCTTCTTCGGCTTCTTTGGCAGCTTTGCGATCTTCACCTTGAATGGCAATCTTGAGGGACAATGCACGGCCCTCAACGGTTTTACCATTGACCTCCTTAAGGGCACGTTGTTGTTCCTCTTCAGTCTCAAGATCAACGAAGCCGAAACCCTTTGTACGTGAGCCATAGAAACGCTTGATAACCTTTGCTGTCTTTACTTGATAACCGCTGAAAGCTTCTTTGAGTTGCTCATCAGTGAAACGGAAGGGTAAATTAGCAACGAACAACAAGGTCTTGCTTGGTTCTCCTTCTGGTGGTCCCTTTGGCTTGCGTGGTTGACGGGCTGGCTTGGCACCATTGGTGGTCTTCTTGCCGGCACCGTTTTCGTTGACATCTTCTTCAGTTCCTTCCTCACCTTCATCGGTACGAGGACGACGAGATGATGCAGCTCCGTTACGGCCACCGCGAGCAGCCTTGTTACGACGGCGGTTGGCTGATTTGCTCTTTCCTTCACCACTCTCACCAGTTTGATTGCCGGAGTCGTTGTGCTTGGCAAGCAATTGTGGTTTTGCACCTTCAACGTTGATCTCACGACCGGCGATCTCCTTTTTGTCCAAAGTGGAAACAGCTTTTTGTGCTTCAGCTTCAGTGGCAAAGGTAACGAAACCGTAACCCAATGAACGTGTACCACGTTTGATGATTTGAATGTGAGTAACTGATCCTGCTTCGGCAAAGACGGACTTTAATTCATCTTCAGTTGTGGAGAAAGCAAGGTTACCAGCGAAGACCTTGTTGGCATCATCAACAGCGGCGGTACTGCTGACTTGAGCTTCTGCTCCACCAGGGCCTGGAGCAGGATTAGCAGAAGTGTTGACTGATTCGGCCATGTTGAATGTTTGATGGGATCAGATATGAGCGTCTGAAAAGGGAGAGGAATGAGAGATGTGAGCAGATGAACTTATTATAGGGAGAGGATTGATTTGTGATACCCACTCGTACTAGATCAAATACGAATAAAGTATAACACCGAGTTTTGATCAGGCGTTACAAAAGTTTGAAAACAATCTATGAACTGTTTGTTGTTTGTCGTTATCGTTTCTTTTTTTTGTCGAATTTGCGAATGGTCCAAATTACGAAGGAGAAGAGACAAGAAGGAACGACAAAGGTTGCCACGGATCACTTTAATTGTTGTTTGGGCGAAACACAGCATTTGGGCAGTGTGTGTGTGCGTGTGTGTTTAACATGCTCGTCTGAGCGTGTACCCCAAAAGAAGGTTCCACCAAGTAGTGCACATGATCAGTGTGTTTATTCTCTTGTCACTTCTTCTTAGAACTTCGTAAGCGTGTAAAAAGGCGCAGCCCAGCGCAACGCAAAAGCCGTACGTACGCGTTGTCAAAAGTTGAGCTCAGGCCAGCTTCATTTCTTCTTAAAAGGTTTAAGCGCAGCGCAGAGCTCTAATATTAAGCTGCGTGGACGATCATTTTAATAGCAAAAGGCACTTACTTACTTTTTAAGCGTGTTTTAAGCTCCACTTATGTTAACTGACTTCTTCTTAAGACGAAACTCTACTCCTCATCATCAATGACCTTGATTGCTGATCAGTGAAATGAGCTTCGTCAAATCTAAATTGAAAGCTTCAAGAGATGCTCTTCAAGCAAAAGATTGGCAAGCTGCCGTTGAAGCTGCAGACGAAGTATTGGAATCGGAAGCAGACAATTATAACGCAAACGTATTCAAAGCGTTGGCATTGCTAAATCAAGATAAAAAAGATGAAAGCGAAAATCTATACAGAAAAGCCATCCAAATACAGCCTCGTCAACCGTTAGCATGGCAAGGATTGGAAAAGCTGCTAACGGAAACGAAACAATGGGATAAATTGATCACCTTGTTGCAACAATTGATGGATCAAGCAGTTGAAGCAGATGATGCAACGAAATGTGCCGAACATCTACAGAAGCTGGTACAGATACAACGTGAAGAAGGATCATCATCACAACTTGGTGAAACTCTCTCATTTTATTTGCCATCATCGCCGTATTATGCTACTCTATCCACTTTACCGGCGCCAGATCAGACAAATCCAACGGCCACCACAACGTTTGACGCACAGATGGCAATCCATTTCGACTCATTCAAGGTTCTCAATGAAATCGTTCAGTTGAAGGAAGAAGCTGAGAAAAGAATAATAGATAGAGAAATCGAAAAGAGAAAGAATCGATTGGAATCTATGAGCAAAAGTCGGGAAGCTCTCAGGAACGAAATCGGTTTAGAGGTTTGGAGCACGTCAAAACTTCCGGAGTTATATGATCAAGTATTGTCTCACGTTCAGGCATCTGATGAAGCAAGAAGGGAGGCCGAGCATAAGTTGCTGCTATATAGATACAACATTTTGAAGGCTTTGCCGAATCCAGCGGGACAACTTGCCGGTCCTAGTGGAACAGCTGCTACGACGGCCAAATCGAAAGAGGACGATGAACAAAACACAATGAGAAAGAAACAAGCCCTTGAAAGCGTTCAAGAGCTGGCAAATGGTATTCTTTCGATAGATGTTCCCGACGAGCTTGCTTGGTCTATCGTTTTGGAATGGCAAGATGTACTACATTTGGCCGATTTAGACCGACAACGGTTACGTGCCTATGTTCACCACTTTCCCAGATCAGGACTGAGCAAATCTTTGGAAGCGTTGCTGGTTTCCGTTAAGGATAAACAATTCTTGGAAGAGCGTAAAAAGAGACAGGAAGAAGAGGATGTAGAAGTACAGCAGCTTGACCCTCTTACCTTGGCTTTGGACGGATTGGAGCAAGCACCCGACTCTTTGTTGGCTCATAGGATCGCTGCTATCCTGTATCTCATCGATCGTGATTGGATGTCATGCTCGGAAGTGGCATCAGCTGCTCTGAGTGTTGTTAGACGCATGACAAGTCAGTTGGGTGTCTCGCTGGAGTATGGTACTCGCCCTTCTTTGGAATCACTCTTGGCCTTGTCTTTGACTTTCATCCATCCGCCGCAGCATCATTCGCGCGCTTCAAGATTATGCGAGGAAGGACTATCCAAAGATGCCAAGAATCAAGAAGCTTCGATGGCAAAGGGTATAATATTGCAAACTTCGAATCAGTGGAAGCAGGCCAGAGATGTGTTTTCGGCTGTCATTTCAAACGATGAAAAGGAGAGCCAAGATATTTCTTATGAAGCTCGGCGCGCACTTTCGCTCTTCAAGATCCCCGGTAGGGAAGCTCGACTTGAGGTGGCATGGTGTGATGTTCAATTAGGCCAGTTGGAAGATGCACAGGGAGAATTGCGAACAGTGATCGAAGAATTGGACGCAGATAAAGAAGCCAACGCACAAGATCAGGCAAAAGCACATTGGAGACTTGGACAATGTTTGTGGCAAATGGGTGGTCATCACAGAGAAGACCGTGAGCAAGCGTTCTCATGTTTCATCACTGCATTAAAGAGAGATGCTGCTTATGCACCTGCTTTCACATCTCTGGGTTTGTTCTATGCAACGGTGTCTGAGCCTAAAGATCCGCAACGGGCAGCGAAATGTTTCCAAAAAGCGTTCGAGCTTGATGCAAGGGAAAATGAAGCAGCACGGAGATTGGCAGAAATGTATGCGGAAGAGGAAGATTGGGATCTGGTAGATTTGGTTGCACGTAGAACGATTGAAGCAGAAGGTGGTTCCTGGATGTTTCAACAGCAATCCCAGTCAATTACTGCGCAAAGGCGTCATACGACAAAAAATGCATGGGCTTGGAATGCAATCGGATCTACAGAGCTTGCAAGGACGAATTATGAAAGGGCGATTGTTGCTTTTCAAGTTGCCCTTCGTAGCTTTCCCGATAATCAGGGTATCTGGATGCGTTTAGGAGATGCCTACCTGGCTTCTGGCCGTCAAAGTGCGGCAATCAAGACGTATGATCGAGCACGACAACTTCAATCGGATGAAGATGCTTGGCAAGCAGCATTCAGTATTGCAAATGTTCAAAAGGATATGGGCATGTACGAAGAAGCTATTGAGCTTTTCCAACTCGTTTCAAAGGAGAAGCCCGATTTGGCTTCTGTAAAAATTGCTTTGGCCGAGACAAAACTTCTTTTAGCCTTGCTACAAGGCAAGCAAGGATATGTGGACCGATGTCGTAGAGGATTATACTCCGCTATTGTCATTGTTGTCAGGGTGCTGGAGAATAACAGAAGGAATGCCGCTTCCTGGAAAGTGGTCGCTGATGGAATCTCTCATTTAAGCCGTATGGATCGTGTCATCACAGACGTATCTTTTATCGAAAAGATTATGTCCAAAGTTTCTGCCCTGTCAGAAGAAGTTTCTACAGATCAAAAAGTTCCCGCCATCTCTGCTGTGACAGCTGAAAAGGTGACATCTGCAATCCCAAGTGACAAGAACTGCACCGCGATTGACCTGAAGAGAGCGTTGCGTTATGCGTCCGCCTATATTTGCAAGATTCGGATCTCTTTGATTGGAGCGGACGAGGAACTTGCGGGATCGGCATGGTCAGACTTGTGTGTTGCACTGCAAGAGCTCAGTAATGAGATGAAGCGAGGCAACGAGATCCTTCTTGAACAGAACGAGAACATACCTTCCGACAATGATTCAACTTGGAAAGAAACACAAGCACAGGCAATAGCTTGCGCAAAGGAAGCGTTAAAGTTGGAACCTGGAAATGGTACGTATTGGTGTACTTTGGGAACTCTAGTTTTCGATCACGGCGTTCCGTTGGCTCAGCATTGTTTCATCAAGGCGATTGAATGTGACAGCAAGGATGTAACAGCATGGACCAATTTAGGCTTCTTGTATCTCGTTCATAAAGATTTGGAACTGGCCAATGAAGCGTTTGTACGTGCTCAAACGATTGATTCCGAAATTGTCCAAGCATGGATAGGACAAGCACTTGTGGCCGATCAAAAGGGAAATGAGGAAACAAGTCGTGCATTCTATCGTCATGCATTCACCATCGATCAAGAAGGAACGTTGGAGGCGATTTATGGATTTGCCTTTTCGACGTTCAACCATATGCGTTCTAGCAGTGAGCCATCATCTGTCTTGATGATGAATGCATCTTCGGCTTTGTCTCTCTATCTGTCAAGACGATCAAATGATGTCTCAGCTCTTCATCTTTCAGCTTTATTTGCTGAACGTCTAGGCGAGCTTGAGCTAGCAACGGAAAGAATCGATGCTGCGGCCTCCATTCTGGAGTATCAGTATGAACGGGAAGAATCAACTGAAAAGGCGCAATTGTTTGCTATTTGCATGTCTAATCTTGGTCGAATTCATCTATCTTGTGGTAGATTTGACAAAGCTATGGAAAGTATGGAAATGTGCTTAGGTCTTTTGGAGGGAAGTACAAATGATGCGGATAAACAAAAGACTGCCCTACACGCTTCCAAAGCAGATCTTGAGCGAGCACGTCTGAACGCACATTGTACGATCGGATTAGCACATTTCGGTAAAGGGGACGCCAGTGCTGCTATTGCTTCATTGGAGCAATCGCTCGAAGATCTCGAAGGAATCAATGCGAGTGCTGGAGATGACACCTCTATAGAAGTTCAATCCGGCAAAGAAACAATCTCGATTCTCATCGCTCGGATCTTATGGTCACAGAATAAGCAAGAAGAAGCAGAAGCCATCTTGATGGATATATTAGCGGATAATACTCAAGCCCTTGATGCAATGATTGCCTTGACTGCCACAAGTTGGCTAACGGATAACGAAGAGCAATTGGACGCAGTACAGAGTGATTTGATGCAACTTTACGAAATTCAAAAGGCTCAATCCACAAAGAGGTCTGCAGATGCCACTACATTGTTGACCATGTTTGACCTTCACAAAAGTGATGTGCCTTCCGCTCTCACACGCTTACGAGGCGATGCAAATCATTCCCTGTCAGCAAGACGTACATTGGTACAAACGTTGATCCGTATAGCTGCTCATTATGCGAACAATGAAGCGGAAGAGGCATTGCAAGAGTCTCAACGCTATACACAAGCTGTGAAGAATAGCATTGAAGCAAATGAAGATGCGATCGGCCATGCACTAATGATGGAAAGCGTTGCCAAATTGTTATATAATAAACAAAGGAGTAGAAACCTAGCCGCAGAGAATGAAACAGAAGACGGAAACAATCTTCCTCCTCCTCCCCTAACCAAACCGTCCATTTCCGCCCTTGAGGCTATCAAAGCGGATCCGTGTAATCCTTCATCTTTATTTGTTCTCCGGGATGTATTGCTTATATAGAAAGTTCTGTCATACATATTCCATTGCGCCCACTGCAATCAATGTACTTCTAGACTATTTCCAGAGTCCGCCAGTCTCTGATTGGAGTGAAGTTGCTAGTGTGAGAAGTGAGAGAAGGAAAATTGAGCGGGTTGCGAATGTGTCATTTCAGGCAATCGAATTTGCCAAGACGTACATCATTCCGTTGGACGGTACGGAGCCGAAATTTTGTAATGAGAGTTGCGTACAACGGAACCCCGAAACAGATGATCAAGAGCGGTATTAAATTATGATTTATTGATGTATAAAACCTTCGTCTTTCTCTCCAGGACATAACCCTCATCGCCATCACTTCTATCAATCCTTCACTTTTACACCCTTTTCCCCACTATACACAAACCCCGACACCATCATGACGCGCTTCTCATTCACAACGGCTGGTTTGTTCAGCCTTGCAATCTTTACTGCTATGTACTTGGCAACATTCAACGTCAACGCAGCTTCGATTGAACGTAGAGCAGGACGTACCAAACAACTTTACTCTTTCAAATTTTCTTATTTCAACGAAAGTGATGGAGAAACGGAATCGGGTAAAACAGGATTCAATTATGATGGTTTTTTGCGTCCATTTGGTCGCATTTCTGGAGGTGGCGGTTTTGACTACGAAGCTGATACTGGATACGAAGGCGGAATTAACATAGGTACAACAGATCCCGATAACGTCAACAAGACCATCAATGGTTTAGGAGCAGGTTATCGATTCAACGAAACGAATGTTGATATCGGAGCAGGTATTTCTGCATTTGATCAAAAGGTTAATTTTCAACTCGATATCGCAAAAGACGGTACAATCTTTGTACATTTTGACGTTCAATCCAATTCGACTGATTTGGTTTGTCAACCAAGTGATGAATCCGATGATAGCAGCAGTGGAATCGTTTGCACGGCTACCCCAAACGCAAGTTAAAAAAGTGATCGCGCTTTCGTCTGGCTCTCTTTAACATTCCAGAACCTATCATTCATATTCATATAATACCGTCCCCTTGTGTAACCCCGTACGAATAATGAACATTCGATAAAACCTAAAAACTTCATTAAAGTGAGGCGTACATGCATCCGTAATTTTCAGGAGTAGGAGTTCCGAGAAATGGTAATTTGATCGCGAATCGCCGAAGCCAAGGTGCGGCGGCCGAATATTTATGATGCTTCATTTCGCTCGTACATCTCAAAGCGCTTTAGAGGTCGAGGAGTGTTTATAAAAGACGAAAATAGGAGCTATCAATTTCCTCCCCTTCATCATCCAACCCCTTTTCCCTTAATCAATCACCTCGCACTTATCTCAACACCTTTCTCACTTACCAACAACACCTACAACACTAAACTCAAAATGATTGCTCGTCCAGGTTTCCTTGCCTTCTTTGTTGCATTCGTTGCACTCTCATCGTACAAAGTACATGGTCAAGACGATTCAGGAGATGATGTCTCTCCATTTACCGTTCAATACTTGAACAGAACAAGCAAAACTGATCATCCCGCTTTGGTCGGATTTACGGTTGATGGTACTTTGGACAAGTTTGGTCACATCGCTGGTGATGGAACTTTCAACTACGAAGCAGGCAAAAGCTACGGAGGCGGTTTTAACATAGGTACTGATGATGCCAAAGACAGAACAAAACACATTGCCGGAATTGGTGGTGGTTATTCATTCAACCAAACACACGTAACCGTTGGCGCTGGTATCTCTGCTTTTGATCAAAAAGTCAACTTTAGCTTGGACATCGCTAAAGGTGGCGTTGTAACTGCCAAATTCGATCTCAGCGGAACTTCAGCAAAGACGTTGAATTGCGCACCTTTTGATGAGAACGGCGCCAAAGGTATCGTTTGCACGACTGCGGTGCATAAGTAGGACAATGATGATGGCGTTTTTGGTTCTCCTGCGCGTATCTTAATTAAGTAACTCACTCCCCTGTAACGCAATCTACTGTTGCGATAATTTAATTGTTTCCCCCATTTTGACGGACAGTCAAACACAAAGTATGACCACTTCTCTCAAGTGTTGATGGGATAGAGCAGTAGTAGGGGAGATCGATTGCGTATGAGTGTGAAATATACGGCGATGCCCCGATACTTTGGGTTTCATACATGCAGACAGACTGCCTCATGATCACCTTCTTCCTCATCCTTCCATCCGGAAAAGATGAAGTTAATACTCATCCTAGTCTGGAACTTGTGCTTCTTACTCCGCTTCACTATTGCTGTTTCTCACGGCAGGGAAAAGCCAACCCACCCAACTGCAAGTGATCACAGCGGCACTGAGCAAGAAAGTGGCTCCACTCATGACCATGGTCATGGCCTTCAAAGCATCGAACCTCAACAAGAAAGTAGTACAAGACCAACCAGGTATCAAAGGCGTATAAAGCAAAAGGTAGAAGAGCTTAACAAAGTGGGTGTAGAGCCAAAAGTTGCAAAACAAGTGTATATGAAACATTTGTCCAACTCTTTACGAACATGGAGAGGAAAAAATTCCGAAAGAGCAAAACAGATAAATGACAAGTATTTCAATAAAAACAAAGACAGTATCAATGAAAAAAGAAAGGTACGTTATCATGAAAAAAAGTTAGCAAATCCAGAATATTTTGAAGGTATAAATAAGAGAAAAAGAAGACTCGGTTCTAATACGTATCACGGAAGATATGAAGCAAGGCTGAGAAAGAATATGACAAAAGGCATGCCGGAAATAGAAGCAAAAAAAGCAGCACAAAAATACATTGATGAATACAAAGCTAAGATTCATCTTCGCAACAATTTAAGAAAAGAAAATTTGAAAAATGCTAAACAAGAGAGCAGCTAATATTGACTCATGAAAACGGTGCGGGGCTGTCCGCAATTTCCCTTGAATGTATATACAGACCCTGCCACAATTCATTCTTTCAGAATAGACATCTCATCAAGCTTCTTTTACATCTCCACCACAATATACCTCCACGAATGAAGAGCCTCTTTTTAGCATTATTCTTAATATTTCTTCTGGCAAATGAATGTTTCTCGATTCCCGTTAGCACCCCTAAGAGTAAAGAAGGTGATTCACGCTTACACGTTAGCACACCAACAGGTCGAATTGCTGCGCATCTACTGTTGGACAGCTCAGATTATACCGAAACGTAGGTTCCAAATACCGTGAAACGTTTCAGAGCGTATTGCTAATTTCACATTTTTCATCACTCTTAGCCAGTCTGAAAGACATAACTCCGATTCATCGGGTTCGATAGCGGGAAGGGAAAATCCGTTGCAGGCCACTGAAGGTGTGACTATGGAGGTGATGCCGTCGGCAAAGATCTCTGCTCAACGAGGTACTAAAAGAAAGACGATAGCCCAACCTTTCAAGCCTGAGAAAAGGATAAAGAAAACTGCCGAAGAGAAACGTGAAAGTCGAAAAAATGCTTACAGATTTAAGAAGGCACTAGATCCCATCTATTAGCAATTAAGGAATAAACGATATCGGAAATCAGGTTATCAGTCCTATGAGAGTATATATCAGCGAAACTTTCAGAAACATACAAATAACGGTTTAAGCGAAACGGAAGCAGCTATAGCAGCTCAACAATATCTCGAATCTTATAAACAGCTGGCCAACGCAAAAAGAAGAACAAACAGACAGCAAAAGAAGAGTGTAATACGAAGTAGCCGTTCCTAACATGAACAGCTTTGTTGCTACATACTACAGTATATGGCTAACTTTTTTTACTGTTTACTAACTTAGACAGCCGCAATTGCATCCTTATTTTAATCGGGGCAAGTATGAGTGATACACAAACGCACACTTTCAGTGATATGTGTATGTATATATCTGTATTGTTCGTATAAGATCATCCCTACTTCCTACTTCCAAATCACTAGACAGCCGCAATTGCATCCTTATTTTATCGGGGCAAGTATGAGTGATACACAAACGCACACTTTCAGTGATATGTGTATGTATATATTTGTATTGTTCGTATAAGATCATCCCTATTTCCTACTTCCAAATCAAAAAGCTGCAAATGATGAAAGGTGTTTTATCAATCATTATCCTTTTATACATAAGCGCCTCTAGGACAGTAAGAGGCACTGACTTACCGTCGGGATCAAGTCCGACCCGCTTCGGTGAAGAAGTTCCCGCAGCCTTATCAAGAAATGACCGGAGTAATGAGATCTCAGGTAGTAAGCGTTTATCATCATACCATAAAAGGAAGCAAACTAAGATTGCCAGGCTTGAAAGTGTTGGAGTAGAAACAGATGTGGCAAACGTAGTGGCGACTAAACACATGTCAAGCTATTTTAATGGATGGAGGAAAGCTAATCAAGAGAAGGCCAAAGCGATACAAAAGAAGTCTTACCTTAAGAGGTATGGAATGGTGAAAGATAAAACCAACCAGAGAAGGAGAGATAAATATCAAGAACGAAAAGCTACGGACCCTTTCTTCAAATCACGTTCACAAACATTAAAAGACAGACATGAAGCAAACGTGCGAACAAACATGAAAAAAGGAATGACTCAAGAGGACGCGAAGGTAGAAGCAGATAAATATATAGAATCTTTTAGAATTAGGAACAGTCAACGTCTTAAAGACATGCGACAAGCGAAAGAACAAACGGCAACACAACAAGATGGATCTACATCGCTCAATGAATGAGAATCATGCATAAGCATATTGAAAACTTAATACTATTGCTTGTGTATGTATGTTTGAAATAAAAAGCTATCAAGAGTACTTGATGGCCACATTGCGTTATGATATGCAACCCTTTCCTGCTGTGCTTGTTTACTCAATGTCTTTCACTCGGGGCCAGTAAGACAGAGCGATACACAAAAGCTTATTCAATTTTGCATCTTTCAAGTCTCTTTACTTCCTACGTCCATCAAAAATGAAGAAAGCCATTTTTGCAATCATTGTGCTTCTACTTGTGCAAAATGTTTTTGAGACAGCAGTAGCAGGGAGCTCAGACTCACCGGTGCAATTTACTCCAAGCCACTCAAATGAAGCAACGAACCAAAGCACACCTGAAAAACGACCAAATAATTACCAAAAGAGAAAGGACAGCAAGATTGCCAAGCTTGAAAAATTAGGAGTAGAAACAAATGTCGCAAAAACTATGGTGATGAAATACCTTTCAGGTTACCATAGTAAATGGACGAAAAAAAATAAAGAAAAAGAGCTTACAGTGAAGAGGGAATCTTATCATAGAAGGTATAACATTATTAAAGACAAGGCTAACGAAAGAAGAAAGGAAAGATATCATGAACGAAAAGCAACAGAACCGAATTTCCTTCAAAGTCGAAGAAAGACAACGCAAGACAGATTTGAAGCAACCGTGCGGTCTAATCTAAAGAAAGGGATGACTCAAACGCAAGCAAAGGAAGAAGCGGGTAAGTATATAGATACATACAGAATGAAATCTCGTCAAAGTCTTCGACAAAGGCGACTAGAGAAAAAACAAAAGGAGGCACAACATGATGATCATACTTCCGTCAATGTCAGTCGAACGTAAGAAAAGGGTTGAAATTGTTATTACATAAAACTACGTCGGGATCCAATTTATTAACAGACCTGATAGCCAAGCCTCATTATGCCATTGTATATATTGCAACCCTCTCACATCTTCTTTATTGATCAACGTCTTTTTACTCGGGGCGAGATATATTAAGCGAGACGCAATTTCATACTCGGTATGCATACTTTGCATCTCTCAAGTTCATTTTGCTCCTCACTTCCATCCTCTCACAATGAAAAGTATGTTCGCTATCATTTTGCTTTTCTGTGTATACTTGCCTGACACGGCGAGGGGAGGGGATGCAGAATTACCGTTAGGATCAAGCCCGATTCGCCCGAACGAGGCGGTGAACCCACACGGTCGATTGATAGAAAGCATTGATCAAGACCACAGTATTGCCCTTGTTGGAGGAGAGGAATCAAGCAAGAAGCGCCGCCTTACGGAGTACCAAAGAAGAAAACAAAACAAAGTAGCAAAGCTTGAAAAAGTTGGCGTGGATGAAAATGTAGCAAAAATTGTAGTGAATCAAAACTTTTCAAGAATTCATAGAAAATGGATGAAGGAAAATAAAGAAAAAGGGAAAAAATTGAATCGAGAATCGTATTACAGACGATATAACATCATCAAGGATAAACTCAATGAAAGAAGGAAGGAGAGATATCGTGAACGAAAAGCAACAGAACCAAATTTCGCTGAAAGTCGGAGAATGACAAAGCAAGATAGATATGAAGCAAACATCCGAGCCAATCTGAAAAAAGGAATGACACAAACGGAGGCAACGGAAAAGGCAAACATTTATATGGAAACTTACAGGATGAAGTGCCGTCAAAGTAATCAAAAACATCGACAAGATAAGAAACAAAAGGCAGCACGACAGGCCCCCAATCAGGATCAAGCTTGAAATCTATAAATTGTTATATTGTGTAAAGTACAAGATGCTGTATTGCGTGACGAGATATCCTACACCGACCAGAAACCCATCATCCATCCGATGATGCATGATAACCATCCCGTTCCTCTAAAAATTCTAGATAAGCCAAAGCGAGCGCAATCCAAAGGCCGAGATCCAAATTGAGTGCTTGAACGGCATGCTTTTGTATCAGCAATCGACCTATTCTTTGTCCTTTCCAGCTTAGAAGGCCTGACTGGTCTTCAAATCGAAGGACCTCAACAGCTTGGCTGGCCCGCGTTGAAGTGCTGGGAGCGTTAACCCAGACGATGCTGAAGGATTTAGACCCATCAAGGCGTAAAGCCGGTCGGACCATATCAGGCAGCATACTCCAGGCCCATCTAGCCCAGCCAGGCGATGAAGACGTTTGTACTTTAGCTGGCGTTTGCATGACGGCGGCCAATTCATCAGTCAAGACAAAAGTGCACGGTCTCACTTCACTTTGACAGCCATCCATTGTTTCGAATTGATCAGGATCTTGTTCCTCTACCATGATTGATGATTGACTTAGATCTTCAGATGCTTCTTCTTCCGGTACAACGGGCGTTGAAGATGGATTAGAAACGCTACGTTTGCCCGAGTGAGAGATCGAGTTACCTGTACTTCTACGTCGTGCGTGTCCTGATTGAGAGGTGGAACTGTTTTCTACTCCGGTTGAACGTATGGCAGACGACTGTGTCGTAGCGTTGAGTGCATGGGTGGAATGATTCCCACTTAGATTTACCGTTGTAAAGTCTGCATTTGACGTACTACCGCTTTCACCTCCTTTCTGATCCATATCGGGACAATCAATCCTGTGGTGAAGTTGATCCAATTGCGAAAGTTGAAGGCGCGTACTGATCGTCAATGATAAAGGTGTACTTCCCACAACGCTTTTGACGATCCCTTTTGGCGGTTGAAGGGGTATTCGGACATTTGGTGGTAGCATTGGCGATCGTAAGTACTGATACCATCCTCTTGTCGGTCTGTGACTTGTCCAACATATCCTCCTTTTCTCCACATCGATGACCTGGTCAACAATTTCATCATTTTCCGTCAATATCCTCTTCCGAATCCATTTTGCGGGTGTATGTGGTGATGCAGTTGCAGTTGTCTGTACGTGCTCTTTGGTTGAATTAATAGGTACAATGTGCAGATCCAAATCTGTCAACGATTCAGATGCTGTTTCGATGCTGAATTGGTATACCGCAGTGTTCCGCTCGTTCGTTATGATGTGCCTAGTCCCTTCACCATCATCTGTGACAATACTCGGCACTGTCATCTCATCGCCTTACTCATGTGATCGTGATGGTAAGTGAATAAACGCAACCCAACACTTTAAACCAACACTGCCTTTGCATTTATCTAATGTATACGCGGTACGCCTGTCAATCTACATTATTAATAGGCCTAGGCCCCAGTGATCAACCAACAGACGCGTCCCTATCTTGAATGCAGCGCCCGGACCTCTCCTATCTTTTGTTTCGCCCGCACCCCTTTAAGTAAGCTTTTAATAGAGAGGGGTCCAAGCAAATTGATGACTTACACCGATTTTAAGAATTAAGAGACAGAATTTATTTTTATGAGTCAAATCCTATGATACCTAAAACGTTCCTATCTGATCTGCTGCCTCAGACGTTCTCTTCCGATAAGATAGCTCTACCGTTCTTTGCTGATGTGCCATCTCTAACGATTCTTCCTGATGCGGTACCTGTGTTAATCCTTTCTGTTGTGATGCCTCTGACGTTCCTATCTGAAGTGTAGCCTTCGACGTTCTCTTCCGATAAGGTAGCTCTACCATTCCTTCCTGTTGTGCCAACTCTAACGGTTCTTTCTGATGCGATACTTACGTTAATGCTTTCAGTTGTGATACCTCTGTTATTCTATTTGGTGTTATACCTCTGACAGTCTTCTCTTCACATAAAAATCTAACGTTACTACCTTCTGATACGATAGCTCAAGCGTTCCTTTCTTTCAATATCATACGTTAGACAGTCCTTTCTATCGTGGTACCTCTGATATGGGCATTTTTCACATGTAGGTTTATCTACTCAATTATAGTATATAAATAGCCAACTTCTTTATAAATAGAGTACCCATTTTCTTCCTATTATTCTGCGTCTTAATACATTCTTCTATATGTATAGCTACTCGTCTGATAATAAGTACTGGGTTATTAGTACTTCTATCTCTCTAAAAAGACCCTAAGTGAGCTTTAGGCTGATCACTCAGTACGGTTTCTCACTACAGGCAACCTGATATACTTTTGTTACATACCTTAGTATTGGTCCAATCGTAGAGTTCTCTCTTATTTCTCAAATCGTTCGGAAGAACCTCTATGATAAAATATTTGACCATACACACTGGCCTGTTACATCATCTTATATTGATTGCGGGGTGCTTCTCTTTCCCCAGGAAAAGAATTCACTAAAGGAAGAATGTGTTTAGCTAAACAAAGCTCTAAAGTTTAAAATTAGCAATTCTTTAGTAAGGTCGAGAGAATGTAAGGGTGACTCTCCCCTCGGTAAAAGGCATTTAGGGGGCCGGACAGCCGTAGCTGCGGGGAAATGATGTGTCTTAAAGTCTCAGATTATTCACCTAGACTGCGTGGATTAGCAGTGTATAGACGCGTCAACGTAACATGCATGTAATGTGTGTGTGAAAAAGGATTTTGGTGATGAAGTGCCGGTTTTCAACAGATGTACTAGCTCTACTTAAAAGCCGCCCGTCCATTGCGATCCGTACGCGAGTCATTTTATTGCTGCTTATTGGCGGCTTATTGACCGATCCAACGCCCAAGTACAGCTAGATATTTGTTCAGGTAATCAAGACACACAACAGACAATGCAAGATTCAATCTTATTGGCTATTTAATCCCTCTCTCTTCCTTCGATTGAAAAGCCGAGACTGTATGGTATGGTTGATAGGGTCTGTAGGAAAATAAGCATAAATTGGGCGTAAATGCACACACAGCGCGTTTAATTTCAATCAAATGCATCAGGTCACTGCTCTCTTTCAACAACCTAAGACGTTTCCTTCCCCGCTCTTGTTCCCCCTTTTGCTGATTGGTTGTTCTATCTTTGCTTCTTACAATCAATATAATTTATTCAATACTTCTTTCTCTCTTAACCACCAATACGAAACAGGCATCCTACACCTCTTTCATTTTAAACTCCTCTCATCACCTCTCCCTTTAAACATTCAAGATGGCCACACAAAGCACATCCCAACCTCTCAAAGAGATCACTCGTGATGAAGTGGCAAAGCATAACAAGCAAGGTGATCTTTGGATCGTGATTGACGCAGTCGTTTACAACGTTTCCAAATTTGCCGAATTGCACCCAGGTGGTGAAGCTGTTTTCTACGATGAAGAAGTTGCAGGTCAAGATAATACTGAAACATTCTTTGGATTACACAGACATGAAGTCCTTTTGCGTCCAGCTTACCAACGTCTACGTATCGGTAAAATCCAAGGAGAAGAACAAAAGATCAAAGCTCCCATTCCAGGAGAAGTTTCAAAGGTTCCTTATGCCGAACCAATGTGGTTGACACCAAACTACTACTCTCCTTACTACTCTGACTCTCACCGTCGCTTGCGTAAGGAAATGCGTGCATACGTTGATAACCGCGTTGTCGAAGTCGCCCAACGATGTGAAGAGAACGGTAAACGTCCAGATGTTGATTTGGTACAAGAGATGGGCAAATTGGGCATCAATGCTATGCGTATGGGTCCAGGCAAACATTTGCATGGACGCAAATTGTTCGCTGATATCAAAGGTGAAGAATTTGACTATTTCCATGAATTGGTCATGACACAAGAATTGGTCCGTATGGCCGCTCGTGGTTTCGGTGATGGTTTGCAAGGTGGAATGGTTATCGGTTTGCCTCCAATCATGAACTTTGGCTCAGATGACCTAAAGAAGGAAATCATTGAGCCCTGCTTGAACGGTGAAAAGTTCATCTGTTTGGCCATCACTGAAGCATTCGCTGGATCAGATGTTATGGGTATTAGAACAACTGCCACTTTGACCGAAGACGGTGAACACTACATCGTCAACGGTACCAAGAAATGGATCACAAATGGTATGTTTGCCGATTACTTCACCACAGCTGTTAAGACCGATATGGGCTTCGCAGTTATTTGCATTCCTCGCAAATGTGGTGGTATTGAAACCAAGCAAATCAAGACTTCATACAGTACCACTGCCGGTACCGCATTCATCACATTTGACAATGTTAAGGTGCCTAAGAGATATTTGGTCGGAGAAGATGGATTGGGTATTCAAATCATCTTATCCAACTTTAACCATGAACGTTGGGTTATGTGCTGTTCAACAATTCGTGCTTCTCGTGCCGTTTGTGAACAAATGCTTTTGTGGGCCAACCAACGTAAAGCATTCGGCAAACCTCTAACCAGTCAAGCCGTCGTTCGTCAAAAGATCGCAAGCTGTATTGCACAAGCCGAAGCAGCACAAAACTGGTTGGAAAGCTGCACGTACCAAATGACAAAGATGACGTACAAGCAACAATCTCTTTTCTTGGCAGGTCAAATTGCCTTGCTCAAATCATGGTCTACTAGAGTTTCCCACGATGTTGCCGATAATGCCGTTCAAGTCTTTGGTGGAAGAGGTGTTACTAAGGGTGGAATGGGTAAATTCATCGAAGAATTCCACCGTACATACAAGTTTGATGCCGTTTTAGGAGGAACAGAAGAAGTTTTGGCCGATTTGGGTGTTCGTCAAGCATTGCGTTTCATGCCTGAAGATGCTAAGCTTTAAAAGTGGTCCACAACTTTATAATACGTAAAAAAGGGTAATTTTACCAGATATACCTGTATACTCCTCCTCTATTGCTCTTTATCCTCATCCTTTTTCTTTATTATTTCTCATATATGTTCAATTTAGATGCTTCTTTTTTATCTGCTCCTCTTTTTTTGTCTCATTGTGTAAACACATCTAGAATGCAATTTATGCTGTTGTGCAGAAGAATTTTTGAGGGTAATGACAAAGATGACTTACGCACAACATCTTCCCTTCTTGTTGGCCGGTCAAATTGCCTTGCTCAAATCATGCCTCACTAGAATTTCCCGGGATGTTGCAGATATGCACGTCAGCCATGGCTTCACTTCGACTACTTCAACAGTACTCGCTCGCTCGCGGTAAGAGGTGTTGGGTGTTACATGAATATTGTACAAGGTAAAAATACAACAAATATATAGGAGGGGTGAGATGATTATTACCACAATTTTGAAGGTCGTTTTAGTACAGCAGGCATTTTAGGCGATAAACTTGATTCGTATGCTTTGATAACCCAAGTGATGAATGCTAAATCACGATGACGTTGTTTAGGATTGTTTGTACTAAGGACAAGTCGATGATGCAAAACTTCAACTTGTTGAAATGTCAAAGCGGGATATTGAGCAGCAGGTCTGACAGAATTGCGTTGTTGTTGAGGTAAGGCGGACATACTTGAAGTAGCAGGAGGATATTTTTCTACAAAAGAGTGTAATAAATTCATCGCATCTTTTATTCGATTCGATTTGGCTGCATTACGAATCATATTTGCCCAACAACGACTAATTCGAACAGGATCGATTCCTTGCATACGTTTTTCTTCTTTGACGGTTTCTGCTTCTGTTCCACTGCCTCTTGTTTTTGGTTCACTGATCTTTTGCCATTCCTGCCAGATTCTATCTGCCAAAGCATCAGCATGTTCGCGATCTTTACTTTTACTGCAAGCTTCCAAAGCTAATTCGCATGTGTATCCATTGATCGGCACTTGCCATTTCGCAAATACTGAATCGCCATCAAAGACAGAGTATCGACTTTTTTCATCTGAAGCTCCAAATATGGCACTTTCTAACATCGGCAAACGATCCGCTTCTGTACATTGTTCAGATAGAACAGAGAGATATGCATTCAACATCCTTGTATCCGGAATGACTGCCGATAGTAATCCACCTTCTGTCGTCGCATCGACCGCTACACGTTCCAGCAATCCATTCACTTCGCGAATCGCGCCAGCTGATGATTCGGGCAATCGCTCAGAGAAGGAGTTGTTGTCCTCAACCTTTGAAGTAGGTTCCACATCAGTGCTTTCACTGTGAGGAGGTTGTTCTGATGATTCACTCTCTTCCGCTTGACCTTCTTTCTGTACCTTAACCTTTTTGATACTTGCACGTTTTGGCGGTTTGAATGTTGCATATGTATAAAACACATACGTCAACGTAAATTCGTCTGGCCTTCTGGTTTCCACTTCTGCCCATTCCCAATCGGCAACGTTTGGTCGAGATCGAAGGGACGTCCAAAGGGCATACGAGCTACGTAGCATTTCTGCCAAGATCCATCTAGCACGCAACAGATCGCCTACTTGACAGCATCCACCTAGGACTGCATTATACGTTTCTCGATCGGGAGAAAAGGATAAAGAAAGATCCGATTTGGTTTCCTCATCAGATTGCAGCGCTGTAATTCGTTGTCTTTCGATCTCCAACATGCTTTGGAATAATTCGATCCCTTTTTCATACATATCTCTCCTTCTTGTACAAGCCAAGATGACTGCGGAATAGACTTCAGGTGTTGGTCGAACATTATACCGCAAAGTCATCTCACGAAATAGATCTAATGCCCTTTCCGTGTCCGGTCGTAAAGCTCGTCCAGGTTTGGGTATAATGCGCTTTTTGGAGATCGTATTCGATTCTGCCAATAAGCCCGCTCTTGGTTTCCAAAGTGCATCGCCTGGTTGAGGCACTCCTAATGCGCACGCTCGAATCATTTGAGCATAAAGATGGGCATCAGGTATTGAATGAGCATACGTTCGCATATCGTAAAACAAAGACCATGCTTTTGACTGAATTTGTGGTTGAGATGCCTTTTGCAAATAATGCTCAATAAGTAAAGTGTACGTTTGCATGGATGCTGGTTGCACGTCTTGTAAGTGCTTGACAATCGCAGCCGCTTCGTCTAATCTGCCTGCTCTTGCATATGCTGCAACAAGATGATGAGAAGAAAATGCATCAGGCACAATCCCGTTTTCTTCCATCGCAGTAGTCAAAGATTGACAAGCTTTGAAATCTCCTTCTTTCGAATAAACTGCTAAGGCGGTATTTATCACCTTTGTTTGCATGCTCGTCTGCCCACTTTCCTCCATCAATTTTAGAATTTGCAAGATGCCATTTCTATCATCCTCAACAGCCGCCTGATATGCAAGTGCTGTCCAATCTTTAGTGGATAGAAGTCCAAGTGGAAATGCCATAGTGAGAGAGCTATTGTTAGAGAGCGCAGGAATGGATACCTGTAATTGCGCAATCAAGTCCCGTGTAGTAGAACGTTGTGTGCTTGTATGACCTTCACTGATGGATGATCCTGCTTGAGCTTGGGTTAGCTCATCCTCATTCCCCTGATCAGCCACGCTCATACTTTCATCTTTTTCGACCGATTGCAATATCTTTGTCAAGCGTTCCGAAGCATCTCCACTCCTTTCAGTTGCATCTTTTTGGGTATAATTCACAACTTCATCAAGACGTTTCTTTATATCTTCCAAGCGTCTACTGAGGGATTGTTGTCTGACTTGATCCTTTTGAAACGGAGGCAAAAGCTGTTTCCTTCGTTTTTGTTCTTCTTCCATATCTTCTTCAGTAGGTGGATCGGGCATATTAAGAGCTTCATATAGAAGATCAAGACTTTCATCTGTTATCTCAGGTAGATTAGCAGCACTTTCTTTGGCGATTTGTTCTTTCGTATCATCTTCAACTTGTTTCTTCAGCAAATTTATTTCTGCAATCGTTTGTCTTTCCAATTTGGTCAACTCTCCTCTTCGAGCATGAGAGACGGTCGAGGAATGTATCTGGCGTGTAGGACTTTGCAGTACATTGCTTATCTGGAGACATGCCAGCCTGCTTGACGATGGCTGCTGAACATATCGAGCGGATAAACCCGATAATCGCCTCAGCATGACTGAATCTCTTCGATGATCACTGCTATGTGGTTGTATGATGGAATTTTGATTTTTTGACAACTTTAATTTTTTCTATATTAAAAAAATTCATAGAATAAAAAGTGTTATCTCCGCTGAAGTGTGTACGTACCCTCAAGCTCCGCCCTTTGTTGCACCCACGCACGCTTACTTGAACGCGACTTTTCGTCCATCCTTTTTTATATTTCCGACTAAGCAACACTTTTTGCATGCATCCAGTCGTGCATTCATCTCATTTTAGAAACGATATAAAATCCATGCTACACTTTTTGACACGATAAGCATATAACAAGATAACAAGATGATACATTCAACAAGGTAGACTATCTTCTGTTTTGAAAATGATGCAAATGCGGAGATTAGGGAATGCAAGAGCTCTGTGTATGCTGCAGAGCTCATTGCAGAGATCACTATCGAGAAAAGCATCGGCAACATTATCACCTCTGCAAGGTACATCATGGCAGAAGAGAGGAAGGGCATCAATGGCTGGAGATGGTCACACTGAAAGTACAATTAATAAATCAGACATCTCTCCACCTTTACCTCCCGGTGTAAACTCGACCAAGAAGGAAAAGACAGAACAACCGTCACATACTACAAAAGCTCCTTCGCCAAGCCGGACTGATATCGAAGATGCTAACTTCTGTCCACGAAATCCAGTCGGCGTTCAACTCCTTTCACGCAGTTTGCAATCACAACTCTTTCCTCCTCATACCACTCAAACACCGGCTATTCATGAAGAAGCATTGACGCTTTCACAGCATCATCTAAAATCACACGGACTGGAACCTGAACAAGCTTCAACATTACCTCCAATAGCATTCGACCTGCCAAGTCTACAAGGCAAGGATCTCAATCAACATTTCTGGAACTTAGGTCGACAAGTAGCTCAGCCATGGCTGGGAATGGCGCATAATCTTGCTGCATCCACTATCCTTGACACACTACCGGAAGGGCTTACTAGCCAACAAGAGAGCGATACTGATCCAGGGGAACATCCAGAAAGCGGTGATTTTGCACCTCAGGATTGGCTAGCGTTGGATCCGGCTATTCGATCAGAATGCAGTCTTCGTCCACCAAAATGGTTAAAGAAGCCAGGATGGGTTCGATATCCTATCTTGAAATCCAATGATGGAAAGTCTGCTTTGGGTTCCGGTGTACCCGTAGACTATCCTTTGGAAGAGGATGGAGCATTGGTATTCGATGTAGAAACAATGGTAGAAGAAGGTCAATTTCCCGTAATGGCAACTGCTGCAGGGCCAAAAGCTTGGTATGCATGGCTCAGTCCTTGGTTCTTGCAAGAAGGCGATCGTCACGAATCAAAAGATCATTTGATCCCATTTGGTCCTGCAAATGGTCAAAAATCGCCAACAGCAAGGCTTTTGATCGGTCATAATGTGGGGTACGATCGGGCGCGTATACGAGACGAATATTCTCTCGAACGAAGTAACATTCGCTTCTTGGATACGATGTCCTTACATGTGGCCACACGGGGAATCTCCAGTCCTCAAAGAGGAGCATGGGTTCGGCATAACCGTAGTAAGACGTTGGAGAGGATCCTAGAGCAAGACGATGTGGCTGAAGTGAAGAAAGCCGTCATTCGAGCAGTTTTGGGTGGAGAGGATGTTGATGAGGAAATCTTGGCAGAATTTGATCTTGAAGACATGTTATCTGAATCGGCGCAAGGTAGACAAGACGCGACGCTCATTCCTCCAGGTCTTGATAGCAACGGCGGCTCAGCTTCTGCATCTTTGCTATGGCAAGATATCACATCCAACAATGGTCTCGCTGACGTTGCTAGATTGCATTGCAATATAGACTTACCAAAAGATACTCGGCAATATTTCGTTGACGGTACATCACGCGAAGAATTGGTGGGCATGATGGATGAACTTTTGACGTATTGTGCAACTGATGTAGCGGTTACCCATAAAGTGTTTACAAAAGTCTGGCCAGCATTTGTCAAGAATTGCCCCAACCCTGCCACAGCTGCAGGAGTGTTGGGCTTGAGCAGTGCAATTCTTCCTGTTGATGATGAATGGAACGATTATATTTCGCGATGCGATGAAAATTATGACACTTCTTTGCAACAATTACGTCAGAATTTGGTCGATTTAGCAGAACAGCTACGACTTCAAGGCACGAAAGACGTATCGTGGGATAGCGCAATGGCTGCCAGTATGGCATACGCCATGCCTTCGAATGATCCTGAAGCAGAAGAGCCACAAGATTATATGACTAAACTCCAAGAGCAAGAAACTGAAATTAATAGGGAAAAGCTGTGGTGGGAAACAGACCCATGGGCATCCCAATTAGACTGGACTCCGAAGAAGCAAAAGAAAGACAAGTCTGCAAAGGTTGGCCTAAATGGAGAGACTGAAAGTTTGTCAAATTCTATCCCTAAATGGTATCGCGACAAGGTTTTGAAGCCTGATACTGGCTTGGGTCGATCGATGTCCCTTACACCAGCTATTTTGCGACTACAACATCGATCAAGACCATTTGTGAAGGATGACGTAGAGAAAGGTTGGACAACTTCCGCTGGTGAAGGAGATGAAGAACCATTCAAGGTGAAGGGAACACCTCTCAAACAGACAGTCCTAAAGAAGGATTCTGAACAGGATATAAGCAGTGGGCTAGGACCAGCAGGACAAGAAGCTTTGGAATCATTGCGCAATGGTGAGAGTGATGATGTGATCCGGGCAAAGTTGCGCTCAGCAGCAGATGCCTTGGTTGAGTGGGCTAGTGAGCATCCCGAGGAAGTCAAGAGTGATGCGCAATTAAGCCTTCTTGACTGGACGCCTGTTGAGGAGCCGACACTGAGCGAATCACAGAGTGAAACAGATGATCCGGCATCACAAGAATGGTGGCCGAAATGGTATTGGGATCTGTACAAATCAGCAACGGGTGAATTGGAGATCACGATCCGGTCCAAAATTGCTCCCATCCTACTGTGCTTAACATGGCAAGGATGCCCTTTACATCACAGTCGTGAACACGGCTGGGTCTTCCGATATGACCCGCAAATGGTAACACCCCTTTTGACCAGACAGAAGCCTCTTACTTTCAAGCTTGCGGCAGACTATACATTCACCAATGATATAGAAAGGACAGTATCACAAAAGCTTTCAAAGATCGCGAATGAAGCGATTGGGAAGAGTAGCGCAAACGTCGATCCAGCCAGTATAACACCAGTCTATTACAAAGTTCCCCATGCCGCAGGTGATGATTCCAACGTCGGCAGTCCGTTTAGCAAGAACTTTGTTCCTTTCTTCGAGAAGGGCACTTTGCAGAGTGATCATCCACAAGAGAAAGGTCGTTCAGCTGCCAAAGGAGCATTAGAGACGAATGCACGTTGCAGCTATTGGATCGGTGTTCGAGATCGCGTTAGGAAACAGATGGTCGTCTGGGATGGAGAAGGTGATAGTCAAATGCACTTTTCAGAAGGTGCGAGTGGTGCTCGACAAGATTCACCTTCTGAGTCAAAAAGAAGAAAGGGTATCATTTTACCTCAAATCGTTCCGATGGGAACGGTGACGCGAAGAGCAATTGAGAAAACATGGCTTACTGCTTCGAATGCAAAGAAGAATCGTGTTGGCTCTGAACTGAAAGCGATGGTCAAAGCGCCTCCCGGATGGTCTATCGTGGGTGCGGATGTAGACAGTCAAGAGCTTTGGATTTGCAGTGTGATGGGAGATGCTCAATTTGGCTTCCATGGCGCAACTGCTGTTGGTTGGATGACGCTGGAAGGCAGCAAATCACTTGGTACAGATTTGCACAGCAAGACAGCCTCAATTTTGGGAACGGGTCGTAATCAGGCAAAGGTGTTCAACTACTCGCGAATTTATGGTGCTGGAATTCGACATTCTTCCCAATTATTACTCAAAGCAACACCTGATATGTCCACAGAAGAAGCAATGCAAAAAGCAAAGGAACTTTATGCAAGCACAAAAGGCAAAAGTACATATACGGATGAATATTTCGGCCGAAAGTTTTGGTTCGGAGGAACGGAAAGTTATGTGTTCAACAAGCTTGAAGAGATTGCATTAGGTGAAAAGCCAAAGACACCCGCTCTGGATTGTGGTGTTACAGCTGCATTGACTAGAAAGTACCTACCGAAACAATCATCCCAACGACAACGATTTGGCGGTAAAGGTCTAACCGGCAATGAGGATTACATGCCCAGTAGAATCAATTGGGTCGTGCAATCAAGTGGTGTGGATTACCTCCATCTCTTGATCACCGCTATGGAATATCTGATATCCACGTATGATTTGCAAGCTCGATTCATGATCAGTGTTCATGATGAAGTACGCTATCTAGCTAAGGATGAGGATAGAGCAAGGGTCACATTAGCTTTGCAGATTGCCAACTTATGGACGAGAGCAATGTTTGCTCATCGTCTGCAAATGGACAGTCTGCCACAAGGTGTAGGCTTCTTTGCTCAAGTTGATATCGATAAGGTTTTACGAAAAGAAACTGATGATCCTTGTATCACGCCAAGTCATACAGAAGCAATTCCATTCGGGAAAGCGGTGGACATCTATCAAACCCTATCGGATACGAAAGGTGGCTCGTTGTACACTGACGGTCGAAGCATGAAAGATAATTCTTCGCCCACCAAGCTCGCAGATCAAGCCGCTTCATTAATACCTGCCAATGAAGAGATTGATATCTCTAAGCCAAAGTACAAAGAGTCCACGCAAGCTCATCGATCTTTGGGAGAGAGAGGCTTGCGGTTCTTGCAAGCACAAGCTTCAGGTGATATTGGAGAGATTTCTGCTTTAGAACAAAGAGCATCAAGGTACGAAGAGATGGAAGCAGAAGGAGAAATTGATGATAGTGATATCTCATACATGCATGAAATTGCTCAGACTTCTTCCCAGCGATCGAGAAAGAATGGTTCTGATGCTTTAGGTACGAAAAGTCGTCGACCAAGTACTCCCCGCAGAAACAAACAGAACGATCAATTTGCTTCTATGCACACATCCGCTCGCTTGGATTCGAATCTGCCCTCCGATTTGCAAGACATTGTTTCATGCTTTCCTTCGCGACCATTCAAATTGCACGTACCATTTTGGAAGACATCGGAGCACCGATTCAAGACCTTATGGAATGTTTATGCAGCCTTACTCCGTGCAATCCCAAAAGAGAATATGAATGTCTTGCAAGACGTTCGCGATACGATCCGCGCTTATCGACATTGCACAAGCCCTGGAGAAGTACAGAAGCTGGAAGATCGTGCATCAGATTTATTGCATTTGTTGAAGAAAGCCAAAAAGGGTGACAAAGAAGCAATCGATTCGCTTGCAGCTCTGGAAGAGGAGATCTCTCAATCGGAATACGAGAAAAAGTGGACAGAAAAGGCAGAAGAATATTTTGAAAGTATAAAGGATAAACCGATTCCACGCCCTTCTGGTGCTTTGCTTCCGCCAACGATCTACAATCCACCCTTGCTTCGATATAAACCCGTTCAACCTGATCACATCACCATGCTGATCGCAAAACGAAGATCAGCGCGAGAGTTACGTGGGCTGAAGAGGGCAGATTCGGTTGAAAGGTTGAAGCATCTTAAAGTTGATCCTTTCCTGTCTGAAACGGATCGAATGGAATTTTCGCGCAAGATCAGTGATTTTGAATTACAGCCGATGCAAGAAGCTTATGATCGTGATCGAGCGCGATCAGAGATGGTGTTCAGTACAAGCATGTTGAGAGTGGCCAAACATGCTCGTCAGGGCAAGAAAAGAAGTCGTGAACGAAAAAGAAATATGGAGAGGGAAACTTTAGAGGAATGATTTGAAAATTTATGCAACACATTTGACTCATGCTCACACTGCATTAATTGTTGTATCAATATGCACACACTACTGAAATTTTGTATTAATTAGGATTATATGTACAGTATGCAATACATGCTTTTACGATTTGTCTATTGAGACTTCTATTTCTCCTTTTGCATGACTGACGTCGGATAAGGTGATGAGTCTTTGACGACCATCTTTCTGCGATAAGGCAAGGACGGGGACTTTTTCACCGATCAAATTGCGCTTAGAGCAAGCCCATGATTCAGAAGGCATCACAACCAATCGTCTAGCAGCCCTTCTGATCATTTCTCTTAATCCTGCATGTGAATGTTTTAAGTACTCGTGAATTGCATTGCCTAATTGAACGTCTGATATCTTGTCCATGTCATCATCCATCACTTGTGCAACATCTTGGAGTGTTTTTAGCTTTGTTGCTTTTGATGATTGTTGAGCCACTGCCCATATTGATGATTCTATCCATGCATCCAGGTCTAGTTCATGCACTAGCAGCTGATGTTGTGGACCTAGAGGTGTTTCTTTGTTTGGATCACCTTCATCGCGATTAATGCATTTCTCAAGATTCGAATTCCCCTCCAATTCTGTTGGTTTTGTGACTTTGTTCATATTCACGCCTGCTGGACTTCCTACGTCTTCGCCACCTTGATAAGTAAACACTTTGATCGTTCCTGGCCAAGATCTACATTGATCTGAACAAAATCGAATTTCATCCCAATTTCTCTTCCATTTACTGCGTGGAGTGATTTCTCTTCCACAACAATGACATGGTTTAGCTTGTAATTTTGATAGATCTATCGAATCATCCTTTGTTGATGTCTCGCCCCCGTTTGTATGTACTTTGGCAGTTTGAATGGGAGATGGCGGTGTGATTGCACGCCTATCGTTTCGTTTTGGCGGCATTGATGAAGACACACGACAGCACGTACTTTGTGCTCTGATAGGCTGTTTAAGTTGGGTGTTTCTTGATACCTTACAAGTTGACAATAAACGAATGTAACCCCTTTGAGTGCTCATGTTGATCTTACTAAAGCTACTTTTTCTCTTGTTTCATTACGGTAAGGATGATGATGGAAGAATCAGAAATTGTTGTGGAGCAAATCAATGCATGAGCAATGATCACGTAAGCCGACATCGACTCACAAGTCACAAGCGCGTCCCCGCCCTGGAGCATTACCGGCGATCAAGCAAGCCGGAAAATTGGAAAAAGTAAACAAAGGCACACACAAAAGAGTGGGTTATGACCATCAACAATCATTTACATACTTCAGAGCAAGATGGCGGATGACAATTCTACAGCAAGTTCCTCAAGCGTGCAGATTGCAGGGCCATCCAATACCAGCACTTCTAACGATAACAGGCCTCAATCCATGCAAAATGTATATCGAAGACGATCAGCATTTTCGTTCCCGAGAGCGGCTCAACCTGAAATTGTGCGAGCATATCAAAAGGATGTCTATTACCGTGATCTGTTGCAAACACAATTACAAGATGTCGTTCGAAGCTTGCTGGGTAGTAGAGTGCTATTCCAGAATGCAGATTCGATCAGTTTTGTGGGATCGGTTGCCTATTTTGCTCTGAGCACACTTGGAGGAGCACAAACGCTAGGAGAAGAATATGTGAATGCGATGATGACGGATGGAAAGACTGGAAGGATTGTCGCTCTCAAGCGTAGGATGAGCTTCATCTTCTTTTATGTAATTGCACCATTCTTATCCACACGACTTTATTCCATGGCAAGAAGGAAGCTAGTATCGTCTCACCAACTTAGATCACAAGCTCTGCAACGGGCACAGCTTAGAGCCGCTGCTGTTGCTCCCAAGAGAGGACCAGAAGCAGAAAGAGCAAAAGAGAACGCTCCAAAGGCAACAAGAGTTGATCGAATCGTTGCTGTTCTAGCAGAACGATTACCCACTATGGACAGCATACATTCATCCACAGGAATATTGGCATACTTTGGAGCTGCACATTTGGCATTGTTCTATTTAGGTGGAAGATACTATAAATTCAGTCAAAGACTTTCGGGTACAGAATACATCAGCACAATCCCGCGTAGACCTGGCTCTAAACCACCTTCATATGAAGTGTTGGGTTTCCTTTTGGGTGTGCAATTGTTCATCAAATTGGTATCGCAAGCAAATAGATGGCGGATCTCATGGCAGCAGAAAAAGAAGGCCGACGTAATCGACGAGGAAGGCGAGACAGAGTCTGAACAAACTTCCGCGGTATCCGTAAAGGAAACAGTTCAGATCGATGATTCTCAATGGTCACACAAGACCAGTCCTCCAAGTCGTGTACAAAAGCAACAAAAGAAAAAGTCGGAAGAGGTACCGCTTCAGTATCCTGATGCAGATGGATTGCCTTCTGCACAAGATTTAGGCTTAGAAGCCAATGTAGACCGATCCCAATTGGAAGCAGCAAGAGCTTCAGCAAAGGTTAAAGCAGCCGAATTGGAAGCGATCGGTCAAAGTGTTCTACGTTGTACTTTATGCATGGAACAACGTGAACCGGAAAAAGGAACATCTGCTGTAACGGAATGCGGTCATGTGTTCTGTTGGGATTGCATCTTAGGTTGGAGTAAAGAAAAAGCAGAATGTCCTCTATGCAGACAGTCGTTTAACCCTAGTCATCTCTTGCCAATCTACAACTTTTAATGGCCTCCTATCTTCATAGCATATACCGGAATGAATGCAATTGTACAATAAAACAACAGATGAAGATATAAATGAGTGTTTGTATAAAGAGAGAAATCATGCTTTGGTATAACCTTCGAAATCGTAATCGATTCCTTGTTGTTTGATTCGCTTTCTGCGCTTTTCTTGTCGTTGCAGTAACTTTGTCTCTGCTCTCTCTTTTTGTTCTTGTGTTCGTGCTTTATTATGAGAAACACGGAACTTTCTGTCGGCTGGAATCTTGCGGTAGGTGCGATTTGCACCTACCCAAAGGCTAGGATGTTGTTTTTCCTTGGGGACAATGTGCACTTGCAACAACCTTCCTTCTAATAGGTAATTGTGCATTGTCTCACAAACAATCTTTCCAACTTCTTCATCTTCAAATTCGACGAAAGCATAATGTTTTGTTGCTCCAGTCTTTTTGTTACGTGCCAATCTTAACCGTTTCACGTTTCCGAATTGGTCCAAATATGATCGTAATGCACTTTCAGGCATAGTTTTTGGTACTCTTCCGAAATAAAGAACGATAGGTTTACCTGCTTGACCGCTTTCTTTTCTCTTTTTGTTCACTTTTTCCAATCTTGCTTTCACCACTGCATCATCTTTACTGCTCGGTAATTTCACCACGCCAGATGCGCTGATTGTGCCTTGTTTTGTCTCTTTGTCATCGTCTTCATCTTCGTCGGATGAATCTGCTCCGTCTACGTCGGAGAACCCTGCTAGGATAGCTGCATCGTCGTCTTCTGCGTCTTCTGCTTCACTATCAGTTTCTACCTCTTCTTCTTCTTCTTCTTCTTCTTCTTCATCATCATCATCCCCTGCATCTAGAGCAATCATATCGTCTTCATCGCTATCTTCCTTTTCTTCTGCTGCATCAATCACACTGATAGCTGTAGGTCTTGTCTTCTTTGTATCTTTTGATGGTACAGTTGTGCTCTTTGAAGATTCTTTTGCTTGTGTTTTTGTTGCAGGTTTGCTTACTTTTGCTTTCTTATTTATCCTTCCTTTCTCTTCTTCTACAGGTCTAGATCTCTTGACGTTGGATACGGCTCTATTGCCATTCTTTGCACCTGATGTTGATCGTGTAGTAGGCATTTTTGTTTATTGGATGCCACCTTTGCGGAGATTGTGGTAGGGAATCAGCCCTCTCAAACCTCCAATGCAAGTTTTCTATAATTTGTCCATAAATTCTTAAATTGGGAAAAAAATTAAAGCCCGACCAAAGCACGTGTTTATGTGTCGGCGCGTTTGATGCACACGCACACGCACATCGAGTATGCATTCTGTTGATCCGGCGGTGTATGAAATTACACTAACCAATTCTCCACAAATGGTAATTGGAATTGAAGTGTTGATCTACTGATAAGGTGGTGATTGCTGTCAAATGTCAAAATGACTAAACAGACAACATAAACAAACTCCATCATCCTATTTCAACTAAACATGGCTCAATATCGATCTCATAAACGAAAAATTCCAAAAGAACGTCGAGTTGGAGGCTGGCGAGTGAGTATAATTGGATAGTCTCGCTATATGCTCATCATGTTGACTTTTTCTCTCTTCCTCGTAGTCTGCCCTTAACAATCCCGGAACAAGCAAAGAAGGTCGTGCTCATGCCAGAAGACAATTGATCTTAGTAAGTCGATGCAGGATTAGCAGCATACAAGTGCATACATTGAAATATCTATCACCCCTTTCTTACAGCATGGACATGTGATTGATGCATTCACTTCTACCACTATGAACACAAGAGTTCGTCGTTGGCTAGGTTTACGGGCAAGACATCGTAATTGATCATCATCTGCTTCCCTTTACAGCTTTTTATACAATGAATGCCATATGCTATCATCCTTCTTTGCTTCCCCTGACGCCGTGGCTTTACTCCACTATGGCTCAGCATTGTGTGTGTGCGTGTATGCTCAGCCACTGCTTAAATCGCGTCTTGACCCTGAATGCTTTGGTGAGAGAGGCACTGCATTAAGCTATTCAATAAAAAATAAGACGTGGAGCAAAGGGGCATCATTACCATCACATCATTCCAGTCAAGATGGTAATGAATAAAAGCTCATAAAGGACATTAAAATCAACAAGAACATCCTTGGTGTTATAGCGAAGCATAGGTCCAACTATGAATTGGGCAATAGAAACAATGAGGAGGGAAGTAGATCTGCCACCTGTGAGCGGTGGTGGATCTGGTCGTTCGCTACCTCCTGCCCTGCTTTGGACGGCAACTGCAAGTGCTTTATTTTCAACTCTTTTCAGTCTTTATTCTATCAATTCTCAATTACGTGCTTATCGTAAACCAGTTTTGCAAAGATATGTGGTTCGATTGCTCTTGATGGTTCCAATTTATTCTTTATCTTCAATGGCTTCTTTGTTTTCCCTTCAAGCTGCTTTTATTATTGACGTTATACGTGATGTCTATGAAGGTTTCGTCATTTGGAGCTTTTTTAGCTTATTGGTCGAATATCTCGGCGGAGAACGTAGTTTGTTGATTCTCGTGCATGGAAGGAGACCGATCCCACATCCATTCCCGATCAACCTCTTCTTCAAGCCATTAGACATCTCCGACCCTTATACCTTCCTAGGTCTCAAAAGGGGCATTCTGCAATACGTTCAAATCAAACCAATTTTAGCAATCTTGACAGTCGTTTTGAAAAGTGTTGGCAAATACGATGATGGTAAACTGGCTTGGGATAACGGTTATACCTGGGTTAGTGTGACCTACAACTTTTCGGTATTTTTATCACTTTATTGTTTGGGAATGTTTTGGGCTGGTTTAGCAGAAGATTTGGCTCCTTTTCGTGTCACTAGCAAATTTTTATGTATCAAAGGAATCATCTTTTTTAGCTTTTGGCAAGGCTTTGGCGTTTCAATCTTGGTTGCAACTGGCCTTATCAAACAAATTGGACCTGTTCGAGATGAAGAGTTTATCTCGCTAGCCGTTCAAGATATGTTGATCTGTTTGGAAATGCCACTGTTTGCTTTGGGTCATGCATATGCTTTCTCACCAAGAGATTATATCGACCCTTTTAGTAGCTATCAATCCAGATTGCCAGCTCTTTACGCTCTTCGAGATGCGATCGGAATGTATGATGTCATCAGTGATAGTCTTACCACCATTCGTGGAACAGGATATGGTTATCAAACGTTCGAGCCAAGCGAAGGTGTAATGCATCAAAGGTTAGGTAGAGAACGTAGGGTGAGAGCAGGTTTACGATATACCCAAGGTGGAAAAGCGAAATATTGGCTGCCATTACGAGGTACGCCAGAAGAAGTTAGGGAGAATGCAGGTCTCATGGCAAGACATCAAGGTCCTGCAAAACAATTCAGAAGATGGCTAGATAAAAAACGTGCAGAAAGGGAAGGATACGCACCTTTACTACCGGATGAAGCTGAAGACGTTGTACATGAAGTGGATGTTGAAGCAGATGCTGCAGATCAATCAGATGTCTCGGTACGTGATCCATTGCGAGGAGAGCAAAACGCAAACCATGGTTCTAACGAAGATGAAGAGAATGATCGCGCGTCTACTTCTTTGTTAGATAAAGCACGACAATGGGCAGTAGATCAAGCTCAAGCATCGTTGGAATTCCTCGACAATATGGACAGGGATGGCGATGAAGATGTTCACGCGGCAGCTTTAAACTTCTCAGACATTGAAGAAGGAGATGAAATGGAGGTTCTATATGAGAAAAGTAGAGCCTTGACACATGGAGATTATGCTTTCCCAAGCGTAGATATTCGAGAAGAAGAAGCAAGAAAGCGAAGATGGGAAGAAGATGAAAATATGCTAAAGCGATACAAAGCACAAAAAGGCCAACGTATGCGTGTAGGTCGTATTTTGGGCGGAGGTGGAAAGGATACGAAGACGGATGATTCTAGAAATGATGATGATCAAGGTGAGGGAAGTGGTTCTGGTCATTCCAGTCCGAATTCTTCGAAACCTGTCGGTGTAGTGGATCTCTTGGTTGCTGATAGTCAAGCAGAAGAACGTGAAAGGTTGCGTGAAAGAAGGAGAGGAGATCCAGCCTTACGTGCCGGTCAACGAACAAGAATATTCCGAAGAGAATGGGAAGGCGAACAATCATCGCAAAAGAACGGAAAGAGACCGTCTATGGAAGCAGAAGAATCTCCAAATGGGGAAACAGCAACTAAACACAACCAAACGTTAGCCGGAAGATCAGAAAATGAACTAGAAGATCGAATTAAAACTGATGCCGTTCGAGAACAACACCCTCAAGCTGATGATGGAACGGCACATAAAGTGGAAGATTCGGATTTGCAACCCAAAGCGCATGCCGAAGTAGAAACTGCCGAAGTTGGAGAAGAAGGCGTGATTTCACAAGTTGTTGATGCGCCTACCTCAAGTTCTCCCGAACAATAAAAGGTGCAAAGTGGGAAATGTAGTATGTACTGTATTATATAATGAATAATGGAATTGCCTTTTCAGAAATCCGTATTGATGCCATTTAACTCTCTAAAAGATGATCGATCGGTAAGAATTCACAAAACGAAGGATGCAACGCCTCCTACTACTCTCTGATTGAGGGCACCTTCAAGGCTTTTTTTCACACATCACATTATTCTAATTCATTCTCACCGGAGTGGGCAGGAAAGCTATGGAAAAAAAAATCTTGATTTTGAATTAATGTATTTTTTGATCTTCTTCGTGTCGTTTTTTTCATTAATATTAATTTAATATTTTCATGGCACCTATGACATCCTATTGATTTAGACATTCGGGAAGCGAAGTCCGTGAAAACAGACTCAGTAATTGACGACGCTGAATGAAGTCATCGGTAGCCCAGATCTCTATAAAGGCGTCCTTTGCGGCAACTGCTGCCGTCAGTCTGACTTTTGTGGTCTGACTTGCCAATTCATTTGCTCTATAAGATAATTTTAACTCAGTCGGCCACGGAATTTGTCCTCTCAAGAAAAGAGTTTCTCAAGGCTGTCAAGTAAGAGACTAATAGTCATTAGCAAAATCTGTAACTATGGGTACTAGATCAGGTTTATTGACGTTTTTGGTTATGGTTGTTTAGCCGAAATTTCTGTAAAAACTTGGTTTTCGATTACCACTTTTGTGAATAGGTTTATGACAATACTTGGTGTCTCAAGATTATACAATGTACTTCTAAGCTCCTTTTACCAAGCCTAGGACACGACTCTCTAGTCTAGGCTACCACTCTCTCTTCTGGGCTACCATTCTCTAGTCTGCTATAAGCTCATTCTCGAAGACAAAATAAAAGTTTATAGACATATAGCAATAATCAAAAGCTCTAAACTCCTAAAACTATGATTCGGGATAATATCTTCGTTCTGGCGGACCAGGTAATTCGGGGCTGATACAATAAAATATAACAGTATATAGCTGAAATTTAAGAGTGGGCTGATACAACACATTATGACACTATAAGGCTAAAATTAACGAGTTGGCTTAAACCGATTGATCGGCCGACTGCCTCATCTCTAGATTGAGCCTCCGACCAATTTTCCGCAACTTCCCCGCAAAAGAGCTATATGTGATTGAACAAGAGTCTTATAGATCCAAGAAAACACAGTATAACAACATTTACCTAAATTTCTACCGATCGAAAGAGGGCTTGGTCCGATTGATCGGCCGACTGCCTCATCTCTAGATTGAGTCTCCGCCAAATTTCCGCAACTTCCCCGCAAGAAAGTCATATATGCTAGAATAAGTTTCTTATAGATCCAAGAAAACACAGTATGACGACATTTATCAACTTTCTACCGAAAGAGGGCTTAGTCCGATTGATCGGCCGATCGGTTCAACTATAGATTGCGCCTCCGACCAATTTTCCGCAACTTTTCCGCAAGAGAGCCATTTGTGCTAGAAGAAGAGTTTCATAAAGCCAAGAAAACCCAGTATGACAACATTTACCTACTTTCTACCGAAAGGGAGCTTAATCGGATTGCGTCATCTTTGGATTCCGTCTCCGATTGAGCATCCGAATCCCCCTCTTAAGATGCCCATCTTGTATCTACTGCTTTCAGAACGAATCCCCGTTTCTTTGTCTTGCCAGTCGGGGTTTGAATCAAGGAAAGGCGCGTATTTGATAGGGAGGTGATCATACACGTTGAGAGACGGAGGCTGAATACCAAAGATTATTTAAGTACAACTATATCGCAGCCCCGCTCAGCTGACTTTCAAGAGCAAGATGGCATTACAATGTGAGAAGCGTATTGACGCCCTTGCTCGGAACATTATACATTACGGCACCGTGAATTAAATCGAAAATCGTTCTGGTATCATTACAGTCCCCACAAAAAACTTACAAGAGGTCTAGACTTTTATCATTTCTGCTCTTCTCCACTTTGAAATATAGAGTTAAGTTTATGGCGGTTACGCGATAAGTACGATCATAGTGAGCCGTTCATCGCGCTCTCGGAACAAAATACGTCATGGATATGTGATATTATACAGAATCATGATAGTAGTGAAACATATTTAAAGAACAAAAAATCAAGAATCAAAAAGCAACTTCTCCTCACAAACAAACAATCCAAAACTAACATTAACCTAACAAAAAATTTCTCCTTTGAAATCTTTTCAACACCTTTGATCGAAGCAAAACAATCATCATGAACTTCAAATTGACCGTGATCATTTTAACTTTCTTGGCCATCTTTGTTGGAAATGGCGAAGGTGCTCCTATTGAAGTTTCAAAACGTTCAGGAAACAACGGAGGCACAAATTGCTGCAAGCAGCCACCACAAGGTACAACGAAGGAATGAAAGGATGAAACAAGGTTAAGAAGTGTTGCGAGCTGGTCAAATATAAGTTTATCTTGATTCAATACAACCAAAGAACTTTGCGCACAAAATAGGAATGGATGTTTTGTTTTTCAACGTATTATTATATTTGCCGCTTCTCGCTCATTTCCCAACTTTTGTCTGTCAAGATTCTCAAGTCTCTGAATCATGATTCCATTTTAATAATTTCTGATGATTCTGAATAGCTTTATAGGAGGAAATTTATACAAAATACTCATTTTGAAAATAGTTAAGTCTTGAATAAAATAATTAAGACATGAAAACCTCTTTGCCAGCTTTTACTGACAGCTTTATGAGATCAAAAGGTGTAAGTTTGATTGAAAAATTTGATATCGGAGCAATCATAAATAGTACGCTTGCACAAAAGGTTCAGTAAAGACAGTGACAAACACAGTGACAAACACAGTGACAAACACAGTGACAAACACAGTGACAAACACAGTGATAAAAACAGTGATAAAGACAGTGATAAAGACAGTGATAAAGACAGTGACAAAGACAGTGATAAAGACAGTGATAAAGACAGTGAAATCGGCAGTGAAATCGGCAATGAAATCGGCAGTGAAATCGGCAATGAAAACGGCAGTGAAATCGGCAGTGAAGTCGGAAAACACTAGTTCTGTACACGTTGAAGACGTAGGCTAAATGCCAAACATTGCTCAAGTACAATTACATCGCAGCCCGCTCAGCTGACTTTCAAGAGCATGATGGCGTTCAGCAAATGAGAAATGTCTTGACGCCCTGGCTCGGAAAATTCCACATTACGGTATTGTGAAATAAATATAAATTAAAAATAATTTTATGGCGGTTCCGCGGCAGGTACAATCATGGTGAGCCGCTTATGGCGCTCTTGGAACAAAATACGCCATGGATATGTGATGTGTTTACAGGATTGTGGTAGTAGAGAATTCTATTTAAAGAACATAAAACAAGACTTATAAAAGGCAACCACTCCTTACAAACAGACCATCTAAAATCATCCAAAACTAAAATTACTCCTTTGAAATCTTTTGACGCCTTTGAAGAAATCAATTATGATGAATTCCAAATTTACCGTGATCATTTTAACTTTCTTGGCCATCTTTGTTGGAAATGGCGAAGATGCTCCTGTTGAAGCTTCAAAACGTTCAAAACATTCAGGAGCCAACCCTGGCACAAACTGCTGTTAAAAAAAGGGGCGCAACGAAGGAACGAAAGGATCAATCAAGGTCAAGAAGAAGTATCTTAATTCAACACAAACAAAGAGCTTTGCGCTACGCACAGAATAGGGATGGGTGTTTTGTTTTTCACGTATTGTTTTATCCGCCGCTTCTCGCTCGTTTCCCAAATCTTGTCCGTCATTAAGATTTTCAAGTTTCTGAATATAATGACTCCGTCTTATTGAATTCTGGTGCTTCTTAATGGCTATAAGGAGAAGCCATTCTTTGCTGGCAATCACATGAGATCAGAAGACGGGAGTGTACTTGGAGAATTCGACATTGGAACAATCACAAACAGTACGCTTGCATAAAAGATTCAGTAAAGACAGTGAAATCGAAATACACTACGAACAAGCTATGAAGAAAGCGAAGATGAGAGCGTTCGAGCTTACCAGAAGCAGGGGAGTGTGATAAAAAAAGATTCTACAAAACACCACCGAGAGTACCAGTGACAGAGCCTACAAGGCCTGCTGCGACTCCTTCGCCTTCAGCTGTGAGGCTTGCGAAAGCTTTGGTAATCCATGAAACTTCGATACCCGAAGATCCATCTTGACAAACATCAACGAATTGCGCAACGATTTGTATAGCTGCGGCAAATTGGGCAGCTGAAGGTAATTGAGTGGAAGCAACAGTTGAGAGTCCAAAGCCCAACAAAGCTTCAAAAGAAGCGACAAACGCTGTTGGATCACCAGAAAGTCCTCCTTTTGCGATCAAAGCGATTAAGCCTTGCGTCGTTTGTTCGAATTGCGAAAGAGTGTCGAGAGGCGCAGCTGGGATAGCATCCTCGATATCCGAGACCAATCTCTTGATTCCTGTCGATTGCTGTTCTTGAACACTTTCAGGCTCGCGTTTTACGATTTGAAGCTTTTCATGAGGATGATTTTGTCTTGCTTGTGGTTGCAAAGCAAGAGCGCCAGTGATTCCGACGAAGAACAAAGTCAAAAGAAGTTTGAAATGCATTTTGAGTTTCGTTAAAAAAAGGAAAGAGCGACTGATTAGGAAACAGAATCAAAAGAGAGTTGTATATGAATAAGGAAGTGAGGAAGGAGTATTTGGGTGAAAGAGTGTACTTTTATACTTTCTGTAAAAGGGGTATAAATGGCTATTCCTTGAATACTAACAGCACCTTCTAATAGCGGGAGTGTGCAATGCCATAGTGTTCTTTGGTGAGGAGCTTATAGAAAATATCCACACGGCATCCAATTTCGGCTTTTCACCTGTCTAACGCCCATTCGCGGCAAGTGTCATTTCCAAAATCCACTTCCGCCGATTCACCAAGCTTCATCCTCCTGAAGTCTGATACCTATAAAGTACTCGCACGGGATGATAAAGTGAGAAGTCACATTTTTGATCCGCTTTGACAGCTTGATAGAGGATGTGGCGTGCTTCATAAACGGCAACCGCGTAAAGAAAGCATTCTTTTTCGGTTGTGGCATGTCAATTTCCTTTTCACTCTATTCGGTTCCGGAATGGTCCTTTGCCTAATATCGGAGCTTGTCATACTTAGGAGTATAACCTAAATATGCCAGCTTTTGGGTGTTTTGCCTTCTAAAGTCACCTAAAGATAAAGGTCGAATGGCAATGTTGGCGTTGCTAACCTTAAATAAGCGAGATTTGGAGAATGGCAATAGCCTTGCGCCAAAAAGGGGGTTTCAACGGCAAATGGAAACTAAAATTCTGAGCTCCGATGAGCAATAACCACATCCATTCGTGTACTATAAAAAGAACTTTGAATGGCTTTGAATTGAGAAGAAATTGTATGAAGTGCGCTTGATAAAGTTTACATCTGCTTTATTACGCAATGATGATAAGATACCCCTCCAATCTCGCGTGATTTGAGTTCAGTGCAAATTTCAATTAAGGTCGACGTATCAACATCAAAGTATAATATTCAGAGGTCCTAGTAAGCATGAATAAGAGTTTTGGAATGCAGGCAATAAGAGAATGTGCGGCTCTTGGCAAATTAGACACCATTTCATTCAGTGAGACCTCGGATTTACTCGTCTGAGTTGCTTGTAAAATATAAAAAGTTGCCCCACATATGTTGGGTTCCGCAACTCAGTTTGTTTATACTACTCGGTTAAAACTATCATTTTCATACAAAGTCGTATTGCCACGGAATTTCTTAACCTTTGTTTGTTTTCTTACTTGCATAAAAAGGAAGGCGTACGAACGGCCGCGGCTATTTATGCAAATTGGAAGAAAATGGAAAAAAAAAAAACCAAGTGCACAAACAAGAATGATACTTAAATGACCTTTTTTCCGAGTATGGATAATGTGGTTGGTCGCCTACCCACCTTACAAGAGGTACTGCTCTACTCTACCATCCAAGAAGTCTTGTTCTACTCCACCTTCCAACCGGTACTATTCTACTCTGAGCTTCAACATCCAAGTCTCAAATGGTTTCGAAAAAGATCTTCACCATTATTGGTTTCTTTGCGGTACTTTGTGCAATGACAAGTGCTGGCGTAATTTTGAAACCATCAAAATCCAATCTGTTAAAGAAACGTGAAGGAAAAGCAACGAAAGATGGTTCGCCTGGAGCTAGTCATACAACTTGGAACCCAAACAACAACGGGTAACCCAACAATAAAGCACTATCTTTCATTTCTAGCCAGAAGTCAAGTTTAATGGCTGACTGTTGAGAAGTCGACTACGATCAGAAATCAAATGCGATCACTTCTGCCCCAATGAGCTTACCAAGAAGGCGTAATGGACAATTCATTATATGAAGAGCAAAAGAACAAAAAAGGCGACACGAAGCGGAGGTCAAACTACCATATATTCACCCTATCTTGTTTATGTATCTCCTTGAATTAAATTTAAGTTGAATGTGCATTGTTGTAGCTCTTGAAAATGATAGAGAACTTCAAAAATACCAAGGAAGCTCTCCAGAGGGTACTCGTTGACTGAAAAGCTCAAACTGACGCAAAAGATAAGTTGACAGCACATTCCCGCAATGACAGCTCACTCCCGCATTGACAGCTCATTCCCGCAGTGACAGCTCGGTCCCGCAATTGACAGCTCATTCCTACGTGACACATTAAAACACTATAAATTTACAGCGGAGTCTTCCGTCATCGAATCATGAATGTAAGATGAACGTAAGACTTATTAGGTGTAACATTTGCTAAACAGAGAAAAGATTGAAAGAACAATTAATAAACAATCTATTGGGATCTACAAAGAATGGCAAATTGATTTTCTTTAGCATCAAAAACGTTCTATAATTGGCTTTCAGTATAGAAAAGCTCAAAATGCACGCTGCCAAGCTCGTTTTGAAGCTATAGCGGGCCGCTCAACAGCGACTTTACCCTGTTACTCTATTTTTGTTACTCTGGTTTTAGATACAAAGTTTGTTTTACCGTTGGCGCAATTTCATAGCGGCCATGATAAAGAGATCACGTCATGACAAACGGTGGCCGACATGATCTTAAATTATGACTTTATCAATATTGTACCGCTTGAGCGGATTAATATCATGTAAAGCAAGTCAAAGTCTCCCTCGGAAAAACAGGAAATGATTATTATTGTAAAATTATAAAAAGAGGCAAATTTTGAATAATCAAATGCCCACCATCAATCACCCAACAGCTTTCCCTTCAAACCTCAAAAATCAAGCTACAAAATGAACCCGAAGCTTATTGTTGCCTTCATGATTTTCATGGTGGTTTGTGTAACAACATGCACTGCCTTACCCATCAACCCTTCCAAATCTGTCCCGTTGAAGAAGCGTGAAGGAGGATTGACACGCAGGGGCAATTCTGAACATAGTAAGGGAACTTATGATCCACACAATCCGAGCAGCTCTAAGAAAAGGGGTACTTCTGAACATAGTAAGGGAACTTATGATCCATCCAACCCGGGAAGCTTTAAGAAAAGGGGCACTTCTGAAAGGAGCAAGGGTGCTTATGCTCCATCCAACCCGGGCAGCTTTGAGAAAAGGGGCACTTCTGAACATAGTAACGGAACTTATGATCCATCCAACCCGGGCAGCTTTAAGAAAAGGGGCACTTCTAAAAGGAGCAAGGGTACTTATGATTCATCCAACACGGGCGGCAGAAGCTACCCGGGCAGCTTTAAGAAAAGGGGCACTTCTGAAAGGAGCAAGGGTACTTATGATTCATCCAACATGGGCGGCAGAAGCAATGTCTAGAACAGGAAATCGTCTTAACCGTTTGATCAAAGCAGTCTCGGTCAAATCATGCGACGCTGAAGCGGTTCATACTTAATGGACTATCAAGGTATAGACAGACTCATCTCAAAACACTTCCAGCAAATGAAGGTGTCATCCAGAGAAAGTCAAGAATCCCTCTGATCGTGAGAGTCACCATCATCTCTCCCCGTGAAATTCAAGAATCGATCTACTCATAATTAATACTATCATCGTTCCCCGTGAAGTTCACAAATCCATCTAATCATTATTAATACCATCATCGTTTCCCGCGAAGTTCACGAATCCATCTAATCATTATTAATACCATCATCGTTTCCCGTGAAAGTTACATTTTATGACGTATTGTGTGATGTTAAAGGCTTACTTAAATGATAGAATGCTCTGAGGTATTTGAACCTAGATCTTCTTATTTCATACTTTTCAACCTTCTTCACGGACATGTGATGAAAATCATATTTCATCAATAGATTCAAAAGTGAAGATGTACACTGAGATGACATAAAAAAGTTTCGTTATCATGTGATGAACAAGAGAAAAATGACGAGGATCTTGTAGATGTGAATAGGTTGATCGCTGTTCTTGCTTTTGATCTTCGATTTAAGACATCCTTTGTTGTCTTCATTCTTGAGCAAAGCTTTCACATTGTAGATGGCAAAGCAGCTGGAGGATTGACAGGCGGATCAACTGGCAATGGAGGAGCACCTTCAGGATTTGGCGGTGGCGGAGCAGGTTGAGGACCTGGAACGGGAATTGGACCTGGGCCAGGAACAGGAGGAGGAACAGGACCTACACCTGGACCTGGGCCAGGAACAGGAGGAGGAACAGGACCTACACCTGGACCTGGACCAACACCTGGACCTGGACCTGGAACAGGAGGTGGAGAAGGGAGTGGACCCGTTCCTGGACCAGGAAGAGGTTGCGGATTAGGCGAAGGCAACGGTCCAGGAGCAGGAGGTTGCACATTCGGATCTGGCAATGGTGCAGGTTGAACATTCGGATCCGGAGCTGGTTGCACGTTTGGGTCTGGAACCGGTTGCACATTTGGATCAGGTAAAGGTTGAGGATTGCTTGGATCAGGTAAAGGTTGAGGATTGTTTGGATCAGGCAATGGTTGATCTGTGCCCGTAGTAGTTGTGCTTGGAGGAACAGCATCTTGACGCTTGGAGAAGCGTTTGACACCTTCGATTTGTTGCACGCTAACATCAGCATTCACAGTGGTAGCAATAAAGATTGCTAACACAGTGGCAGAGAGAATTGCTTGATAGAAACGCATCTTGAGTTTCTTTGGAAGGAAGAGTGGAGTAGGGATTGTGATGTATTTGATGGGAGAATGAAACGATTGAAAGGCAAAATTTTGCTCCTTTTAACTCTTTTCATCGATCAAATGTCTTGGACATTTAGTGACTTGGCCAAGAGGAAGCATTGTCGCCGTAACGACAAAAAGAGGGACAGTCTTGACAGCGATGGGAATGGGAACTGTAAGAATACACAGCCATCGAGAGGTCTATGTGTCAAGACTTTCGTTTTATTTTGTCCCTACTTCATCTTCGATACGCTTTGGGCGGAGAGGCTGTGCTTTTTTCGTGTCAGCTCGGACTATTAGTCGGAGCCGTTAGAAGATGCCAATAAACACACGTTCCATTGTCCTACAACAAAGACAGTAAAGTATTCTTTGCTAGCCGATCACGGCGTTTGAAGAAAGCACATAAGAGAAAAAGATACAATGCATGACATCAACCTGATGACAACCGAGTTCATATGGAAACCATTGGCGCGGCGCTAAGAAATTCAATGATGACGGTGTATAAGGAAAAGGAAGAGGCACCAGAAGATCGTGTGGGAGAAATAGAGAGCACGACGCGTAACACAGCAAACGCGCTTGGCAACAATTCAAACGCAAAAGTAACACAAATTAATCAAAAAAGTGTTGGTGAACAACGGCTGTGGTCTAAAGTTCACTCTCGATCGTCATCTCTTTAGCTCGATTCTTATTCGGACCGTTGCCCACTAAACTTTTCGGAATGATAATTGAAGGCGTATCAACATGAAATTAACATAATTGTCAAGACTGCGATGGTAATGTGTTCTTTTGTCAAGTTGCGTTCCTTTCTGTGGTCATGAGCCAATTTGATTCATACGCAAATCGGCGAGAACATGGTCTCGGTTCATCCGGAACGAGCCAAGCATCAAATTCTTCAACTTCCCTTTCATCAGCTTTTTTGCATTTGACCAAAAAGCAAGTTCAATTCTTTGATCATGTGATCGATCTTCTACCGGAAAATGCAACCGATTTTAGTCAATTGAAAAAAGCCTACAACCTTGCTCGCCAAGACGTTCAATCCATCCTGGGAACGCAAGTCGATCAACAAACTGACACTGCTTTATGGGATGCTCTACTCCGGCTGACACACATTCGAGCAAGGACGTGGGCTCAAAGATGGGATGCCGTTCGAACGTCTTTGGGTTTACAACCTCTAAACGTAAGTGAAGATGACACAAGTGAGCAAAGTTCAATTGAAGCCGATGACGAAAATGATTCGACAAAGCGTTTCTTCCAAGACAAACAACGTCCAAGGTCTTGGCATGCCAATCGTGTTAGGGAAACTCCCAATGAAATGGGTCAAGGGTCCTCTTCTACCGTTATGGAAAGTCCTGCTGCATCTCGGCTTCAAAGGCATCAGAGTGACCGGATCGTCAATCAAAATGAGCTAGAGCAATTACGTGCGAGAATGGCAGCTCTGACTGCACAAGCTAGTACTCTGGCCAGCAGTCTAAAAAATCCATCAGAAGCAGAAGTTGTGCCTGTGAACCGACCTTCGATCCTGGTGAAGCAGATGGGCAGAACCCCGGTAGCAAACAGAGACCGGAAATTGCGGTTTGCAAAATCCGAAGAACGCTTTGATATAAGCAAGGCAACTACAGTCGAAAGCGCAAGTGATGAAGATGACAAAAGAACGCTGAAAGAGCCAAGTAAGACTCGAGATGTGGCTTCATCTTCTACTCCTGTCAAACGACGATTTGATGAGGTGGTTGCAAGATCGAGATTGGAGCGTGATGCTGCCCGTCGAGCAGCAGAGGCTCAACAAGAAGCGGAGAATGAAGCGCAATTAAGCCATCTTTACCGTCAAGCGGATGCGATGTATGCGATGACGGTCCAAAACAGATGCTTCTCTTGGTGGTTGACACTACATAGAAAACGTCAGTCGCGATTACAAAGTGCCGTTCAAGAACGAAATACGTCCTTGCAGCAGAAAGCATTTCAATCTTGGAAAGCAAAAGCAGACAATCACAGAAAGAAACAAAATAGTGCAGTGAAAATAGATGTAGTCCGATGCAAGTTGCGAGCGTGGCGTACCTGGATTCGGCGATTGAAAGAGGAAAGGAAGAAGCAACGTGAAGAGAAACGGATGGAATTACGTGGTGCATTTGAGGTAATCCGTAGTCGTATGGAACATCGAATAGTATCCGAAACTTTTGCAAAATGGCGCATTTCATGGATGGAAGTAAGAGCGACTCGATTTCGTTCAGAGCATCTGTTGCGAGGTGCAATGAGCTTATGGACAATTCAAACATGGCAAACTTCATCTCTACGAGAAAAGGAGCAACAGATTGTCGGAAAGCAAAGTCAAACGTTGATTCGGTTGGCTTTCACTAGATGGACACAGGCGTATAAGACGCATAATTTGCTAGAAGTTGCTCAATCGTTCGATCGTCAACTTACTCTACGCACATTTTTCGAGCGCTGGTCTCACGCAAAGGCAGAACAGGCTATTTTTCATCGTAAAGAAGCCTTGGCAGACAGATGGCGTCAACGTCGAATCAAGCAAAAAGTATGGATGAAGTGGTCAAAGAAGACTGTCACCATTATGACGCAGCAAGAAGAAGCAATTCAGTTTGAGAATAAATTGGCACAGAAACGTATTTCAACCTTTTTCCATTTTTGGCTATTGCGTGAAAGAGAACAGCTTTTTCAACGAATCACTTCGGCTCGTATTCTGACAAGATCAATAACGACTTGGCATGACAAAATGATCACTATGAAAGAATCGTTGAGAGAACGTGAGATGAAAGTTGTTGCAATGCAAAAGCAACATTTACTTCAGAGGACGTTCAGCATCTGGCGTGATACCACATTCAAGATCGTATCTGCACAAGAGTTGGCTGCTAGAGGGGACCGAAGGAAGCTGTTGAGTGAAGCACTGGCAGCATGGAAGCGAGTGAATGAGAAAAGAATGGTCGATGAACGCAAAGCCGTTTCTGTCAATGTGGTAAACACTCAACGCCGCTTCTTGAATCTTTGGATTGCTCGTAGAAGGGAAGCAAAGCTGGAAAGATGGACGGAAGAACATCGTCAGACTACATTGCGTGAAACTTTATCTTTATGGCTCGCACGCACAAAAGAGAAACGGAGGGAGTCGTTGGCCGTCGGAATGTTGCGAAGTAAGATGGAGAAGAGAGTAAGGGCCGAAGTACTGCGGATCTGGACGGAGCGAGTGATCGAACGAAAGAGTGCATATATGGAAGCAGCAGAAGCCCGTGATGGCTTGTTGATTCAGCGTGCATGGTCAGCCTGGATGCAAGCCTGTATAAAACATGAAGATCAACTGAATCTTTCCAATAGCTTCCGAGATGTCAAACAAGAAGAGTGGCTTCGACGCTTGTTCAACAAATGGGTAAATGCAGCAAGAGCAGAGCGTATCCGACGTGAAAAGATGGAGCAATTCCTGATGCAAAGACGCAGAAAAATTCTTGAGAATGTGTTTGAAGTTTGGTACGATCGATTTGCCGAATCTTCTTTGCATGAGATTGAATTGAAAGCTTTATTGCAAAGACAAGATGCGGTCAAAAATGATATCTTTGCACGTTGGAAAGCAAAGACACGCTCTTTACCTGCTATTCAACTTGATCATGCTCGAATCAAATCGAACGCATTCTACATTTGGCGAGATCGACTACCACTTGCGAAATTACAAAGACAAGCAGTCACCCATGATCGTATACAAATGGAAGCAAAAGCGTTCAATCATTGGCGTCAGATGGCAAAAGCAAAGAGAGCATTCCGTGCTGCTGCTCGTTTTGGTGGCCCTTCAGCCGTTCATATACGTGCAGCAAGAAGAAGAAGTAGTGGTATAAATGGAGGGGCGAATTCTGGTGGCGTCTTTGGTGGCGGTGGTGGAAAGACACCGAAAAGTAGAAACAGAAGTTCTAATGCGATCAGTCAGAGTCCCGAGGACAAAAGTTTGCAGATTACGAGACCAAACAGCGTTGCAGGAGAAATGGAGGATAATAGACCCTTTTTGCCTCTCGATGCAGATGTTTCGTCCTTACGTGAATCCGATTTGGTGATGGAAGGTAATAGGCGAGGAGGTCGAAATCTTGGCAGGTCATCTCCTATGAAGCAACCATCTCATTCCCTTGCTCAACTTGCAGGCCGTCATCTGATTTCGCCAGAAAAGTCAGAAGCATCGAACATACCCAAGCAGCCTACAGTGAGTAATTGGATACGTCGTACTGGACAGGCTAGAGATGCATCGAGCGAAGTACACTCCGAGCCACCTCAACGTGATGACATTGCTGGAAGTAGTCGAGGCCGTTTAGTTGAAATCAGCTCGGCCGCACATGATCGCAGAATGAGTAGAACACCAAGCCCGGCCAGCAAAACACAAAGTGAGGCAACCCTTCGAATCAAAAGCAGTCTGCGTAAAGGCTTACCGACAAGTACATCTCAACGAAGTGGAATCGCGGATATCTTTAACGCAAGAAGAAGAAAGCAGATGCAACTTTAAACAATTTCCGGACAATTTATAAAACATGTATTATACATTATAGCTGTAACCTATTAATACCTTCGCACTTTTTTAGACTGAGCTTCAATTTGGGCGGCTCTATTTCGATCAATCACTGCAAAAATTGAATTTTGAACAAGTGTATAGGCTGCAGAAGAAAGCCAATAGATCGATAAACCTGCAGGAGCTTGACTTGCAACGACGACAAAAGCGATAGATGCCGCACGTAAAACATTGCCCATAACGGCAGATCTCAAAGAGGCTAAAGATGCTTTTCGTTCCCGTGCTTCTCGCTTTTTCATTGATCGTTCGTCCTCATCTTCATCTTTGGGTACTTGCGCAGTCGGAGCTTCGATAAGAGGTTTACGTAACCATTGACCTAATTCAACATTGATCAACGTCAGCATACCCAATCCTATCGGTCCAAACATCGTCTTATCACGATCAGCAAGTGTTGGACCTTGCATTGTGGTTAGCTTTTGTAATGCTTCTCCTTCTAATCCTCGTGCTTGTAATATCTTTGCACCTTCTTCGAATTTAGCCATAAGATCAGCAGGAGGTGACCACCAAGGTACAATTTCCGCTCCAATTGCGCTACCTTGGGTTATTAGAGCTGCTCGAATCGCAAAAGAAGCATACAAGAACAAAGGTATACTTGCTGCTAACGGAAGAAGAAGCGTTGCCAGCGGAGCACATTTGTTTTTCTTCATAAGAAGTCTTAATTCCGTTTTTAATGTCTTTTGCAGTTCAACTTTATACTCTGCATGCGTTTTCTTTTGTACCCTGCAACGACGTGCTACATCTATGGGTAAATCACGTTTCATTTGTTCCCATTTTGGACCAACGATCTCTGTCATTCTTCTTGTTCTTGCCCTTTGCCAGATTGTAACCGGTAGAGTTATAGCTGTTCTCATTGCAATCGTTGCGACAACTATAGAAATAACATAAGCGTGAGGAGCATCGGCCGATAATCCAATGTATGTCGGCAATTGTTCAATGTATGGCACAATTGAAGCAAAGTAGGAAGTTGCAACATCTCCTCCCGTGCTTTCTGGTAGACTTGTTATACTATCCAATGCGCTGGAAGATGATTCGATCGGTTGGGTAGATGTCGATATTCCTCTCGCCTGTCGATTTTGCCAATGCAAAGGAGGCATAGACCCAACTCTTATCATCGATGTCTTCATGCTATGACCACATGCCTGGACCGACATATGCCTTTGGATGCTTTTTCGAAACAGGTCATCCAACCCATGAGAGGGTCTCGGATGCCTCAGAGCGATCGATCTGATGATCATTTCGGCTTTATTGTTTGTGGAGAGAAGAAAGGAATTGTGAAATATTTTTCCATTGTGTCTGTGCGTGACGGTAATTCCGGCTTAGCGTGATAATTTAGTATTTCAAGCGTGTAAAGTGTTCCGCGTTAACTTTCTCTTTCTTACCTCATCTTTGAAACACTTCTATACTTACCTTTCTGCATCACCACCGACAAAGAACAAAAGCTCTCTCTTATGGAAACGATCAATGAAAATAGAGTCAAAAGAGTGTGAGAAAAAAACAAAGAGAAACGTATAAGAGATCAAAGGATGGGTCATGATAGAGAAAGGGTAGAATCATTGCAACTTGCTGAGCGTTGCATGGAACACTGTTGATTGTGAAAGACTATGTCGCTGACTGACGTCTACTTGTCACCAGAATCGGTCGTACCTTCAGGCTTTGGTGGCTTATCACCAGTTTTATCATCAGTTTTGTCGTCCGTTGGAGGGTTCGAATCGTCGCCATTGTCAGATGGTTTTGGCTTCTTTTCCATCTTTGGTGGTTTCTTTCCGTGCTTATGACCGTGCTTACAATGCTTATGACCGTGCTTACAATGCTTGCCGCCTTTCTTGGGCTTGGGATGGGGGTGATCCGAATCGTCACCGTCGCCGTCAGGGGATGTACCCTCGCCTTTACCGTCGTCTTTACCGTCGCCTTTACCATCGCCTTTACCGTCTCCACCGATCGGTTCAACATCTGTTGGGGCTGGATTGTCATCACTGCCAACAGGATCAGATTTGTCCTTTGATGGATCAGAGTTGTCCTTTGATGGATCAGAGTTGTCCTT